CTGGCTATGTTAGGTACAGTAACTAACTCTCTTGCCTATAGTGTTGAAGACTGGAGTCTGAAATCCTGCTGTGATCTGTCTGTCCCTATGCTGATGTGCATTCATATACACTACATAAATCAGGGTGTTGGGTATCATTTCTCAGGCCACAATTAACTTGACTCTTGATAGCCCTGTCCAGTGTATCAGCTTTGTGGCAAGTTTGATTTTGTGTGACCTGTGGGAATTGTTTTTACAGATTGTTGTCCTTAATGGGTGCACCTCTGCTCTTGCTGCCCTGACCACTGTGTTGATGGAGCCTGGAGGTAGGTGTGCGATACACTGGCAGAGAACAATACACAGTTCTTATACTGCCAGCCTGGACCTCACAGAATCCTTGGAAATTCTCCCGTTTTTTTTTGTTTAGATGGCTACCTGATTCCCTCACCTTACTATGGGGGTATAGCTACATACACGTGGCTGTATGGAGAAGTGAACCCAGTTCCTGTTCCACTGGACAGTAAGGTTAGCCAGATATACTGTATAACGCACTGTGGCCTGGCAAGCAGGACTCTGGTTGCAAGCTGTATTTGTGAATTGCATTGCAGATTTCCAGAGGTAAAGGATATCCACTCATGCTGGCAGTCGATAAGCTAGAAGATGCCATGTCTGAGGCCACAAAGAAGGTAATCAGTGCCTTTTTAGATTGCTTCTGTGTTTTTGCCGTTTTGACCGATTGGCCAGTTTGAAACTGTGGCAGTGTAACCTTGACAAGGCTGTGCGGAGCGTTTCATCATGCCGTTTTCCTATGTTGGCTCCCTGTCTTTCTCAGGGCATCAGAGTCAGAGGTTTAATCCTGACGAACCCTCACAATCCTTTAGGGGTGGTTTACCCAGCTGAAGTACTGATGGACTGCCTGGAGTTTGCACACAGGTCAGAGGTCCAACACAGCCTGTAGTTAGCTTCTTAAAATAACTCATCTAAAAGAAAAGCATGATGGAAGCACAGCATTTTCTGAGAAGATCGTGTTTGTTCTAATGGTACAGCTTCTAATATATCATCTGTCATTTATAGTAGATCAGACAGCAAGAACTATAACTCCATAAAAAAAAAAAATTAATTTCAAAACACAGGTCATGCCTGCCATCTGTTGTCTGTATCTTCCAGTTACAACTTTCTTGACTTCTGAAATTACTGAAAGGATTTACTAGTTACAGCTTTTCAGTGGATTTCAATTAGGAAGCTCATAATTACAAAATGTACAGCTTTCTCATGATGTTTTAGAAAGAAGGTATAATCTTGATAAAATGTGTGTGGTTTATAACTACAATAGAAAATAGATTGATTTTAAAAGTTGGATTCATAAATGAATAAAAAGTATTGATATATTAATAAGGAGAATAAAAAATGTAAAAAAACATAATTTTGCTGTTTCCTTCTGCTTGCTCGCAGGTATAAGCTACATGTAATTGTTGATGAGATATACATGTTATCAGTATATGATGGAAAAGCCTTCACAAGCATTCATAGCTTCGAAAGGTAAAAAACCCCAACTTTTTTCAAGAATAGAACAGTATACTGCTTTGGTGGATGTCATAACTCTGCATAATTCCAATCACGCAAAGAGAATTGTGTTGGGAAATTCTGATTTCTGTATTTTAAAATTATAATTGTATTATTATTACCACCTGTTAATAGACACCTATGATGATTGAATTTTGCAGTTTACACAGGGAAACTGTGATGACATTTTGTAAAAAAAAACATCAAAGAACCATTCAAACCTTTAGTCATTGTAGCTTTCAGCTCCTACCCTTCTCTCTCTGCTTTTTAGCTTTAAAAATATTTAAGCCTGTTTTCTGGCCTAATAGCCAACTTGACAAAATACAGGGTAAGCCCGAAGCACATAACAGGTCTTAACTGGTGGATGCTGCACATTGGTGGTGGTGTAGGGGAGTCCCCATTACCTGTAAAGCACTTTGAGTGGAGTGTCCAGAAAAGCGCTATGTAAGTGTAAGCAATTATAATTATTATTATTAGCTCCTGTCCTGAAGGACCCAGTTCAATTCCAGCTCAGCTCTCCTGAGCCAGTAAGTGTCTCTTTTACATTTTTTCATTTGTTTTCCACTCGTGCGCAGGCAGCACTAATTCAGGTAACTTTCATGAGCATGTTTAGGCGGGGTGAAGCAATGAGCCAGAGTGCATGTGACCCTCAGCTGCAGGTCTGGGAGCCGGCGTGTAATAAGATATGTACAGGAGACGACGTGACACACCAGAGAGGACAGCAGAAGCACTGCTCATGTCACCGTTTACAGTACGTTTCCTTTTCTTTCAGCTTACCTGATCCAGAGCGAACACACGTGCTGTGGGGATTTAGCAAAGTAAGGATGGACAGATGCCTGCCAGGCTTATACTCTGGGCGGTGGGTTAATAGCGCAGGCTGATCCGATCTCTGTTGTGCGGTTTCTGTGCCGCAGGATTTTGCACTGGCTGGGCTTCGGGTGGGAACTGTCCACACCAGGAACCAGGAGGTGCGCAGGGCTCTGATCCGGTTGGCTAGTTTTCACAGCTGCGCTGGCCCGACCCAGCAGCTGCTTACCCACCTTCTTCAGGACAGAGGTGCCGAGCAGCCGTCTTGCCCCCTTCCTCACTCTCACAGCCTCCTTTCTCTTCAGGTCAACTTGATCTGACCATCATTTCCCATTGGCCCTTCCCAACCATGGCCTCCTAATAATCCCCATCTCTGAATTGGCTTCATTACTCTGCTCTCCTCCCCACTGAGAGCTGGTGTGTGGTGAGCGTTCTGATGCACTATGGCTGCCGTCGCATCATCCAGGTGGGGCTGCACACTGGTGGTGGAGGGGGGTCCCCATTACCTGTAAAGCGCTTTGAGTGGAGTGTCCAGAAAAGCGGTATATAAGTGTAAGCAATTATTAATTATAATTAGTATAATTGCTACTTCGTCTTACAAGTCAAAATGGAGGCATTGATTTTTGCATGTGGACACATATGTTGAACTTTTTGTTTCTCTTAAATGAAAATCGCTGATAGGGAGGTTAGAATTAATGACTTAACATCTCCCCCAAAAGTCTCACTGATATTTTTAAATTTATGTTTATTCCAACACCTGTGATTCGACGTGGTATCAGTTGCCCTGTTCTCTGTATTTGCAGGTCAATTCTGAAATCCAGTGAAACAAACATTTTCTAAAATAGTAAAAAAAACAGAGAGCAGTTTTGAGTATATAAGATATATAGTACATAAAGCTTAAAGAGAAATGCTGAATAATCGCAATGTCATCTACTTAGTTCTAAAAAAACATGGCAAAAAACTGCACTTTAATAGGTGAGTGTTCTGTTATGGTAATTGGTATGTTATTTAAAACATAAATATTAAAAATGATCAAGTCAATCTGTCACTGTAGCACTCGACTAAAAACTAAGACAACTTCAGTATAAGGCATGGTTTAGTGCTACCAATGGTGTTGTCTATCACCAAAGTTTTCTTTATTTTTTAACCCTTGTTTTTTATGGTTCTTGTTACTGGTTAACGTACAGTATATGAATGCAAACCTCCATGTGTTTTTTTTAATCTAGACTGGATAAACACAACATTTCTGCCCTCCAACAGAAGGCGACTCTTGGAGTCCAGGGCAATTCTAGTGAAAGGACTGCAAGACATTGGCGTCTCAGTTCTTAAAAGCTCTGCTGGCTTCTTTGTTTGGGCTGATCTGAGATCGTTCTTAAAGGAACAGTCCTTTGAGGCAGAGATGGACTTGTGGTGGAGGCTGATTCATGAGAAAGTGTTCATTAGCCCTGGACAGGTCTTCAGCTCTTGTGAGCCTGGTTGGTTTAGAGTGGTCTTTTCGGACACAGTTGAAAACATTAAGATAGGTAAGTACTGTAATACCACCTTGATTTATGTACTCATTTTCCATCTCCATTGTATCTTTACCTGAGATTTTACCAATTGCACCCTAGTCTTTTTCTAGATTTATGGGTAACTAAATGCACAATGCTGTATATTAAAACCCTTGGGGCAGTATGGCAGTACTGTAGTTAGCATTGCTGCTTTGCAGTGCTGTGGTCTTTTCCGGACCCCTGTGTGGATTTTGTACTGTATATTCTCCTCTGTGTTTGTGTGGGTTTTCCCTGGGTGCTTCTGCTTCCTCCCACAGTCTAAAGACATCCGAATAGGTTAATTGGGAAAATTGGCCCTGGTGTGAGTGTGTGTCTGTCCGCCCATTGTGATGGACTGGGGTCCTGTCCAGTGTTCATCCCATTCGGCTTGTGGCTATAGGGGCCAACGGGGGCTGTTGCACTGAACTGGGGTTTTCCTGAAGTTAAGGCACAGCGAGAGTCAAGATTTCAAATGTCAGACTGTTGGGAGATACAGCCAGTCTTAGACCCTGTGATGTATTGTGCTTAGCACTGCATAGTCTTGTTCAGTGTGTGCAATGTGACTGTGAGTGGAAGGCACTGAGCAATTAAACCATATTTTTAATGAGCAGTATGTTGAATGTTCTGTCCAAGGGAAATTGTTCTTTGATCCTTCTATCAGGGCATTGCAGCATTGCAGTTTTTATAGCAATGAAATGCTCTTGAAAACTGAGTATTCCAACAGTTCCCTTCTCCCCAGGCGTTGACAGAATAAAGAAGGCTTTGGGGGCTCCAGCAATCATAGCTGAGAAGTATGTCCACCACCACGCAAGTTAATTTGAGGATACAGAAGAAAAGCAGCTCATAACCCAAACCACAACCCTGGAGCACAGTGCAAGCTGAAGGAGCCATGGACATTCAGTTGCACTTGGAGACTTTCTAATTGGGCAGATTGGCAATCTGGCAAACAGTAGATTTATAGGACAGCACAAATGAATGCAATAATAAATGAAGAAACCAAAATGGGCTTATTTATTCTTCTTTAACATTTTGGGCATGGGAAAGATAGATTGTCTACAAAGACTTGGCTCTGAGATCTGTTTGATAGTCTGCATGGAAGAGACACGTTGTCGTATTACAGTTTAGTTTGCAAAAAAAGAGAAAAGTATGTGTGTTTTCTTCTATTTGTATGAGAGAGAGGTTAAAGAGAAAAAAGTTTTGGTTTACAGTGAGGTAAATGAAAATAATGAGTGAAGAAAGATGAGCAGCCATTTTACATCCTTGACATGCCCATATTGGAAACAGCTAAACCGAGTTTAAACAGCAATCAAATGTAATATGAGGCAGGATTTGATATGAAATTAAATGCTCATGCCATGCACAAATTAATAAGCATCCATGCCTGTGATGACTTTCAACACTTTTTATTAGTTGCTGTTGTCTACATGAAGTTCAATGATTAAAAAAATACATGAAACCGGGGTCCCAGTCCTTCTGTTAAAGTTCAGCATATAAACAAGAAACCATGCCTAAAAAAACAGGCGTCATACTTGCAGAGGCATTGTGGGACCGTTCACGAGGGGGAAGGCTTGGTTCATCACACTATATTTTGAAATTATGTTTTTTTAGGTTGCTGTTTCTCATCTGAAATAAAATAACTTACAAAAATTGCTCATTTTGATGGCGAAAAGAAGCAAAAGGATTCAAGACTCACTTGAAACCTTTCTTTCATTTTACCTTAATTTCCTTGAGAAATCGCTGTTGCACTTTACAAGCTAGGTGTTCATGTCAAATGTCACTTCCTTAAAATTAAATTTACTGTTTAGCTCAATCCTGCAAACTTGGGTTTTCCATTTTTGTTCGTATTCATTCATAAATATTTATTTAATTGTAATAATCACAATTCTGCTTCCCTTCCCAAAGTAGATATTATCAAGCTGCAATACACCACTGTATATTTCTTAATTTTTTTAGCAACTTCCATGTGCATAAATGTGTGCAATTCCTACTGTTTCCTTATTTGAATAGCTGCTTCTTTATCAATGTTTAACAGAAGCCAGTCATATAATACACAGTAACCTGATGAAACAGTGTCATTCAGTACCAGACACTGTCCAAAGTAACAGCCTGAATTTGGATTTCTAGCTTTTTTTTGTTGTTGTCAAAGATCATTCTTTACCACTGTTATACATTCATAAGGTGAGGTAAGCACCTGCTTTTTTTATTTGTTTTGGCCTCTGATTTAGCTACGTGAAGACTTGATTAGGGCTATGGAAAAGGACTTAATATCTGAATTTGTATTCACAGGGTTTTTTGACACTTTCAACCGTGATGTGTGTCAGTGCACAGCATTTTAGTTTTCTTAAAAACCTAAAACACTGGCTAAATGGAACCCAGTCCAGTTAATAGGAGGACAGGGTGATAATAAGAAGACATTGGCCTAATCGTGCCTTTCAAACAAATAACAGAGAATATGAAACCAGTGCTATGTATATTTAAGAAAAACGTATTACCTTGTGCCTTTTGGATTGTACAAGACCATTTTTTGATTGATGTGACAAAGATAAAATAGCTTCTCTGTCAGAGAAACTAAGCTGTGCTTTTCTTTGTAAATTACGCAACACAGACATGTCGCAATACATGTGTGTTGGAAAAATGTGATTTGTTTTTACTAATGGAATATGAAGTATGAAAATGTCTTTTCTTTCACTGAATATCATATGACTTCAATGAACTTAAAAGAGCGATGATATCTTACCTGTTAAAAACTGTATCTGGTCACTGTGAATATTTCATATGAATAGTGTTTTATTGGAGTTGTCCTTGTTTACAGTGTTCAGAAATCCTGTAAAATATAGCAAGACATTTGGTTGATTAAGGGGTTAAACTGAATCTAGTTATTATTTCTCTAACCCAGGACCACATTACCCTTCATTTACCTTGAGGTGACAGTCAATGTCAATTTTTGAGTCTCAGGGCCAGGGACTAAACCTTCAGTTAGAAAACGAAGGGGCATTATTATATCGCTGTACACCTAGCAGGCTGGTCTGTTGCTAAATGCCTCGGTTTTTGGATGGGAGTGTACATTGGCTTTTCACGGGGTTCACTATTCACAAACAGTTCTGAAACCTGTGTTGTTGTTTTTTTCCCTCAAGTTTTTAAAGGTACTGTTCCTCAGGAAATTGAAAAGGATTGTCTGTGTTCTTTTGAGAGAATAAAAAGAGACCCAGACAAATTTCTGCATAAAATGGAAAACTGCCAGAAGGAGCCTCCTCCATACTCGCCAGATTACGCACCCTCATGGACAATACCAAGACCCGCAAATCCAGACTGTGTGCCACACGACGGCCACCCTGCTCCTTCTGCCCCTTCTGGTAACCATGGCCACGGGAAACTGGCTGTGATTTTCCCGGTCCCTGACTATGATGGAGCCCCTTCAGCAGCTGACAGCAGGGGAGGCTCTCCGGGGGCCCAGCCTGACTGCCCCCCGGGGTACACTGCCGGCTTGGAGCTGGACTCTGACAACTGCTTCTCTGATAAGGGGATCAGAAGAGGTGAGAGAGTTTCTGTGTCGAACGTGTTTGTTTGTTTTCCTTGTAATGAAGGGAAAAGGTGAGGTGTCATTTACATGACTCCTTTTGAAATGTGGCTAACCTAGAACAAGATGATGAAGTTTTCCTCTCCACGAGAAGTCCGGGATGGATAAAAAAATATTCACTCAAGTGGTCTGCTAATGAGCTCCTTCTATGTCATTACTGTAAAACAACTGAAATAGTTTGATGATTTAATGTTTAGACTAGGCATTCACTTCAGTAAATATTATTGCTTCCATCCTTTGTAATTCTTAACGCATTCACAGAATATGGTCGTATTTGTGACTTTTATTACTCCTTGGGATATTACGTCAGTAATACTACTGTATGTATATACAGTGAAAAATGTTGCTACAGGTTTGTATAAAGATTCACTGTCAGTGTTAGTCTGATCTACAAACTTGGCTTCGTCAGTAGTAACACCACTGTTAACATTATACAATTGTGAATTCATCATTTGATTGCATTTAATACTGAATGGGCTCCCACCCTCACAAATGATCAATTCATTAACTGACAAGAGGAAAGTGCAGATAAGCATTTCATTTTAGTTTTGCTTCTACCAACTAAATCAGAACTTAAATCGCATCCACTCTGGATCAATTTAAATGTACAAAAGTGTATTGCAGTCATACACATTTAAAAATAGTAAATCACAGTTAATCCCGCCTTATTAATTTACAGTAAGATCTCATACACATGGAAATGCCTGCAATGAAAACAACATTCTACCCCAGTTTTTATGTATTTTGTAAAAAAAATGTTTTTTTTAGATTATTATACTGTAGGTTTACTGATGGGAGATTGAAAAACATTTATGATTAATTTCTTTTTACAATCCCTATGACCATAAGATACTGATCCCTGTCTGTTTTGACACAACAGTCTCACACACAGTTCCATTCCTTTCCATGTCATTTAAACTATCTTTTCTTTAATTACTTGGTCTGGTATCCTGTACAAAAATTAAATGTCTCTATGTGACTCTTTAGCATATATACAGTACCAAAGCTTAATAAAGTGTATGAAAATTAAAAGATGCCGCTGTTTACATATTTGCATGTTTATTTATGGATGGATTCTTCTGTACTTTATTAAGCGAATTAAATGTTTCCTCTTTTTCCTGCTTTTCCAGCTTTTGTCAGAAAAGTCTATCTAACCCTGATGGTACAGCTAATAATTACAGTGGGAATCATCTGCATGTTTCTCTATTGGTAAGAGATGGTTTTGTTTCTCTGAAAACATCACCTATTGAAGGTGTCTGAAATAAATCACTGCTGTCCCAGGATTTCTCTGGTACCTAGGACTTCGATAAAGGTCAGGTATCTCGCCATTAAAATATCCCTGGGAATGCCAGGTTAGTTATTCCCTAATAGTACATAATGTTTCTATCATAAATATAATTGTATTTGTTCACTTGATGTGTTTTAGCACCCAAAAGCTCTCGATATCAGTTGACAGTGTGGAGTAGAAGTAAGGGTTCTGGATCCTTGCTATCCAGGGGTGTAAGGTCGCACCTGGTGCCCTGCCCTTTGAGGATGGTAATTAATAATTAATAATTAATAATTGCTTTCACTTGTACCCTGCCTGGCTCCCCTGTGACCCTGGATGGGTAGGAAAGCACCCACTTAACCTCCCTCCGATTTGAAGGATCACTACAAAGCAGGACAGCGAATGAGTGTGAAATTACTTCACCGGCTCACTTAAGAGGGAAATGTAGAAGAGCTAGAATATGCAAGCTCATGGTGGAATTTAGCACCAAGGGATCATTTAACAACCAGGACTTTGGTTTAACATCTTATCTGAAAGGTGGCACCTCCTACAGCAGGGCCACCTCACTGGGACATGGGTTTAGAAATCCCTGTTCAGAGGGAAAAGCAACACCGAGACTTCCCACAGCACCACTCACTGGACATCCTGCCTTGCTTATAGTCTCCCACCCCAGTACTGTAGTCTTGCTTCACTCCTGCAAGCTGACGAAAGCCCTGTCTTACTCATCCAGGCTGCAAACCCAGTGTGTGAGTTTTGTGTGTACAACACATACATCTGTGAGTTGCTTTGGAAACAAAAACAGCCTAATAATAATAATAATAATAATAATAATAATAATAAAGTGATACTACTGTACTGTATTTTCAACTTTTTGTATCTTAGGAAAACCCTTAACAAATGGGTGAGGGAGCAGTACTGGTTTACGTATGGATGTCTGTAAGTATTGAGAAATTACAGCACTTTCAATGTACTACTCGGCCTGTACATTAAACTGACGACACTAGCCAATGGAACTATTGTATTGAATAGGAAAGTCCTATAACAATATAGTTTATTTTGGTTACATCAGCAGATAACGGGGTTTAATCATTTTTATGACTGTAGTGAAACTTTTGATTACATGCAGATGCAATAAAACTATTGGTATTTTCTGTAGATTGCTGTAAGAACAAGTGGGTAACATGTTACCACACTTGGGGTCAAGTTTCGACAGTCCAATTTTATGATTGTATTCACCCTTATTTATCAAGGTGATCTCTGCCAATTACATCTTGACCTAAAGTAATCACGCTCACCTGATCCTGTCTCAGACTGACAGTTTGGAAGTAATAAGAGATATCATGAACAGGTTAATCTGATTAAGCCGGTAATCATTCTTTAGATTTCTATAGTAGGTCATGCGTCAGCATGCATACGCTGCAAAGGAACAAGTAATAGGTTTATTCCATGCTGAAAATAGGAGAGAGAAAACACAACGTTTAGGCCGTGGAGTCTTCTTCAAGTGTGAGAAAGACAGGGCAGACAGGGCTGTGAAAAAATAAAAACTGATTTTTTTTTTTTACTGACATTTTTGAGGGCAGGACCCAGATCCCTGGTGCGGTCACTACTGATGGTCACGCTGAATAATAACTATTACAATGATCTCAATATCCTGTTTTCACCACAGTGGTCACAATACCTGGCCTTTCAAAAGAGCTGATTTAGGGTTCATCCTGGCAGAGTAGTAATCGAATCAGGCTCTAACTGCATACAGTACAGAGGGATCATGTTCGAGGCAGATGGGAGATGAATAATAATAATAATAATAAACTTTATTTTATATAGCGCCTTTAAAGGTGGCTTCTCAAAGCGCTTTACAGGATGACAATAACAATAAATAGGAAGACTACAACAATAAATAAGAAAATTTCACAAGACAGGACACAATTATAATTACAACAATACAACAATAAAAATAGAGGAGACCGTGGAAGATGGTATTAAGAAGAGCAGAGGGGTGAAGAATGGAACCAGTTAAGTAAAGGCTTTTCTGAAGAAGAAGGTTTTGAGTCTGGATTTGAAGGAGTTTAGAGATGGTGACTCTCTAATATCCTTGGGCAAAGAGTTCCAGAGCTTGGGGGCATAGCAGGTCCCATATGTGTTAAATAAACATTTTTATTCCAATATACTATCTGCAGTACATGCTAAGCATAATTATACAGATTGACAATTTTATAGCAAATGAACACGCACAAGTGTTTATGTATTCAATTTTAAGGAGACCATGTTTTTACATTTACTCCCTTTGTTTCAGTTGTGCAGTATTTGTCCTCATTATAGTCCTGGCTTGCTGTGCTGGTGTCCGCAGAAAAGTCCCAATGAATTTTATTTTCCTTGGACTGTTTGTAAGTATTCATACTATTTTGTTTTGATATGATGTATAGGTCTTTAAAAAAGCTTAGATACCGTAAAAAGATTTACTGTAGTAAAAGTGCATTGTTGCATATTTGGGGAAAACCACAACATTTCTTGGAGAGTTAACACTGGTGTTTTGATCAAGATACAAGAAATTGTATATGGCCAATAAAGTAATCTTATCTTATCAAAGTGAAAGGATTTTTTATTTTTTAAAAATAATTCATTTTATCATTGTACATTACTATACACAGTAAATTGATCATCTACAATATAGTAACCGATAATCAGTTTAATCAAAATGTAATCATTCGAGTAACTTGGGCATGTTACAGATTACCCTTTAAAACTACTTTCTGCATTCTTGGTTTGGAAAACCAGAAAGTTTTTCACTCATGATCTAAGTATGCCTAATGTATTCTAAACTGAACAAGTGTACTAATAGTTGGTTTTCAATATTCTTTTAGACTGTTGCAGAAGGTTTAACGCTTGGATCAGTGACAGTGTAAGTAGGCTGCAGCACAGCCACAAAACGAACTAAAACTAACATGGATACTAACATAAGGAATATGTACATATTTGTAATATGCAAATATGTCAAGGGAATTTGTATGTAAGGTGAATAGAAAGTGCAAGACCAAAGAGCAACTTCTGAATATAAACCTAAAATATCCAAACATTTTTATTCCGTTTGTTCCACAAAATGCGTTTGAAGATAAAGAATGGAAGAAACCCTTTCACTCCGTCTTCACAATGCATACATGAATACGAGCAGGGCCTGTGCTCAGGATGACTGACAGTTGTTTTTTCCCCAGTTTCTTTGATGCTGAAGCAGTCATGTGGGCCGTGGGGGCTACAGCACTGGTATGCTTTTCCCTGAGCGTGTTTGCAATGCAGTCGAAAGTAAGTGCTCTCGTTTAAATACCCCTGGGTCAGTGTTGTTCTTTCCGTGCTCTGTTGTGACGTCACTCGTCGATGTGAAAATCACATGCAACGTCCCGGAATTCTGATTAACGGGACCGGTTAACAGATCATGGCTCCGACGTCATCTTGGTTAACTAGATTCTTGCGGGGAGCTTTATGAAATATTAGCAGGAACCTTTAATGAGTCATACGCCACTGACACATTATCATCTGTGCTCACGGATGGCTACAGAAATGAAGAAAGACTTGTTACAGCTTCAGGACTCAATACAACAAAGAGCACAGTCATACAAAACACCAGGCTACCAGCACTGAAGGCTGGTGGAGATGACTTGGTCTGATAATTCTACAATGAATTGAATGTCAAAGTGTCCTGAATTTCCCACAGAACCTAAATTCAAAGTTACTTCAAATACACCAAAAAACAGCATTTTCAGTATATACTTTGTACAAAACAAATGATGGCGGCATGAAATATGTGAAAATGTTCTCACACATCACCTTCCTTTCCTTTACAAACTAAAGACTCAAGAGACAAATTATGGCCAAGAGCACGTTGTCTCCTCCCAACCCAATGCACAGATTCTCGAGACATTTAGAACACAATAGCAAACTAGACAACATGGTTGCAGGTCTAGGGTCCAGTGTTCAATGCCGGATTTACAAATACTCCCCATTACCTTGTATAAGAACAGCCTCAAGTCAAGCACACCTGCTTCTCCGAATCTCCCAGGCCCGCACGTCAAGGTTTATGAAGTCTATATCCAGGGCCAGTATGAGAAGACTTTGAGCACTTACAGTCTGATAATGTGCTTCATGCACAAAAATATTTATATTGATAAACTGACCTTTTGTAATTCCAGTGGGACTTCACTACAGCAACTGGAATCATGTGGGTTATCGGCTGGTCCCTTGTATCTTTCGGATTATTATATGCAATTATCCGAACCAATGTAAGTACAATATATAGGTATATATAAATTATAAAGCTATAATTAGGAAAAAATACCTTGTTTAGTAAGTTGTATAATATTACTTTCAAACTTTATGACTGAATACATGTGCATATTGAAAATTAAATGGTCCAGTTTTAAGAAGGCTGGGTTAAAGTATATAGTATACAGTATAAGTATACAGTACTTCATTATTAAAAAAAAAAGATTAGTGAGTTTTCACCTTTAAGACCACACTCTAGATGTACACTTATGTCTAATAATATGCTCTATTTTTTCCCATTACAGTGGCTGTATATTGTGTACGCTGCTGTGGGAACACTAGTCTTTTCAGTTGTAAGTATATGTTCCATGAACTACTCTTCTTTAATAAGCGGGCAAACCTAAACTTAATGTCAATCAAGAAACAATAAGGGACTACTAATACACAGAAACTCTGCTTTAGAAAGCAATGTTTAGCTCATGTCAGGGGAGCATAAAAAGGTTATTCTTCCAGTGCAAAATCAAGCCCTGAATCGGCCAAAGAACACAGTATCACGATTCCTCTTCCGGGAACAGTCTGAATCTTGAAATACTCCTAAAGTACAGTGCTTGCCTGGACAGATTAATTGTTTTTTTTTTTTAATGGTAAAATTACTTGTCAGGAAACAAAAAATATTTTCTTTTGCACTTCTTTTGTGAACTATTAAATCATAAGAAAAAAAAACCTTAGGCATTTTAACAAAGATAATGGTGGTCACAATTCTGTGGACAAAAACATTTTTGTTGAAAAAACATTTTGGATGACAAATTGTGAACTATTTTTAGCCAAATTGTCAGTTACGAACCACAGAAATATCAAAGACAACACTTAAGCCATAATTGCAGCATTTGCTTGTAGACAGCTTTTCCAGGCACACCTAAAACATCTCTGAATAAACCAACTCATTGCCTAAGTACTTTCATTCCACATTTGTACAAAATTTGTGGCAGTATATTAAAACAAGAAGTTAGAAAAACATCATCCTTAAACAATAACCATCCTTTTTTTCTTCCTCAGTATCTGGTGATGGACACCCAGCTCATGTTGGGTGGAAAACACAAATACAGCCTCAGTCCTGAAGAATACATCTTTGCTGCTCTGAACCTCTACTTGGATATAGTTACCATTTTCCTTTTCATACTACAGCTAATTGGGCTAAGTCGATAATTTCTTTAAAAAAAAAGCAATCTCCCCTTCCTGCATAGAAGATTTTAAGTCACTAGGTCTGGCTCATTTCTTATAGAAGTGCAATACATTTCTAATCAAATACTGAAGTTCTAGAAATTCTAAAATGTTTCCTTCACACCATCTTTGAAATGAGAATGATGTGGAAAAATACAGTATAAGATCTTACAATGAATAACAAACCACTGTGTCACTTTATCATTATTCACTAATGTGTAAAAGAATTATTTTGTGCAAAAGAATCACAATGAGGAAAAAGACTTCCAAGTGCAAGATCACTGTTGTTTTTTATTTTAAATGCCTTTGTTAAATAACTTATGTCATTGTACTTTTCCTATGTTGTTCCATCTATGAAGAATGAAAGTAAACAATTTTTCCATTCAATCCCAATGACTGTGACTGTTAAACTTTGCTGTGCTGTATGGCTTGACAATTGGTTGAAGTGGAACTATATCCAGCACAGCGGTTAGAAACCTACAACCAAATCAGTTTCAACATCCGGCTCTTTTTCCCTTTCCTTGGGGAAAAAAACAGGCTTTAAATACTCCAAAAAATTGAGCATTTTCAGTATATATCTTTATGTACAAAACAAATGTTGACATGAAATATGTGAAAAATGTCTCACACATCACCTTCTTTTCCTTTACAAACTCAAGACTCCAGAGACAATTTATGGCCAAGAGCACGTTGTCTCCTCCCAGCACAATGCACAATTTCTCAAGACATTTAGAACACAAATGCCAACTAGACCACATGGTTGCAAGTCTAGAGTTCAGGGTTCAATGCCGGATTTACTAATACTGTTCACATGGGGGATCTCCAGGTACTCCAGTTTCTTCCCACCTTCTAAAAATATGCTGGCTATATTATTCTCCAGAAACTGCAGTCCGGAGCCAGGTGTAGTCCTCCATAGCCCCACCTTGTACGCTGTTCTTCAGGAAGACTGTGGATGAACCCAGCTCTTCCCAGGATGAGGTGGCTTTCTAATGACGATTATAGGAAGAGCCTACATTGCAGATCATCCCATAAACGCAGTGCCATTCCACAGGGCGGGTCTGCTCTACGCACTTCATGAGTTCTTATCAGTCTCCGAGCACACTGCCCAGAAAATCAAAACCGAACCAGCACTGCACTCAGACTACAGGCTGTTCCCAACAGATTCCTTGATTGCAATTGCAGGTGTGGGTCCTATATGAGTCCAAATGTAACCCTTCTCCGGGCGAAGAGGAATAGTGGGGAAGGGACAGCTCCTGGACTTAAAATACTCAGAAGGCGCGTGGCACACAAACTCGAGGTACTCCATTTTTCTGGGTAGGTCCTCTTCTGGCCCTAAACAAACAAACAAAACAAGAAAGGGAGAACAGGACAGTGGGCGCGAAGCGGTTCTGTGCGGTCCGGCTTCTCGGAGTCCGGCCTCACCAAACTCACCGACGATGTAGGTGGCCGGGTCGAACTGGTCCCGGGGGCTGGTCTGGGTGGGTATGAGCCAGGTCAGAGCGGCACTCTTCTCGCAGTACTGGTCCTGCACGAACCCGCGGATCTGGGCATAGTAGGGCATCCCGTCCTCCTCATCGATCACCCTGATGACATCCCCGATCTGGTAATACACGCCCTGGAACGACAACGGGGAAGGCAAGTGTGCGGCCGGTGCTTTCGCAACGGGTGCCGTTCATTAGTCGCTGCTTTCCGCACAGCTTACCTTGTAAAAAACGGATTCGGAGGTGATTATTGTAGACACCGATTCCGGCGCTTTAATTGGCTGGAAAAAAAAATTGACATGGGGGTTTCTGGACTTTTCGCTACATCAGACAGCTGCTTACACATGCTGGCTCACAGCGGGTGAAAGCTTACATTTTTGAGCTTGAAAATGTGCCGTCTGCCCTTTCCTTTAGTGGAGACCTTCTTCTCGTTCGCCGGAGCCTTGTACTTCGTGTTTCTCAGCCGCGCTGAGCGCCTGTGGATTTCTTGTTTAGACTGAAAAACAGGATTATCTTATCAAGTGAAAACAAGACTTTAGGAGTCCTATATAGCACAAGAGTAAGCCCGTCTCCTAAAACTAAGAGGCAAAGTTCATACATTTCGTGACGAGATTTAGCTAGAAAATATATAGGGTCATATTTCATGTCACATGTCTTGATGTCAAGGACTTTTTGGGGATAAAGCCCGGAACATCATTAATTATTTGGCTTTTACAAGTTCGAGGGGCTGGAAAGGCACATTGCTTGCATACGCTGCCTCAAGGGTATTTTGGTTTGAGAACTGGACATGACCCGGAACAGACATGTTTCCAGAGCCGCAAAGTGAGGCACATCAAGCCATCAACAGCAGGATACAAAAAAGAGGAGTGCCAGAGGTAACGTCCTCCGACCACGACCTTTAGAAACGCATTCAGGGGGTATAAACCCTCCCGACTCACCAAACCACCCCCGAACAAGCAGTTCCGCCACGCCAGACAGGAGGAGAGGCGATTGCACGCCGGACTAAAAACACAACATTTTAACACGGCAAGAAAACAAAACGCCCTCGGCCTACGACAGACCTCTAGCATAAAGGTCTCCAGAAGACGATCAAACAAAAGTAGTGCCTCAATAAGACCGTCACTGCGGCAGCCCCTTTTACCAATCAAAGCGGCACGCTTGCTGCTTCAGAAAAGTGAGGTTGCCGTCTGGGTACCGTCCGCACCTGCTTCCCGCCGCCATTGCTCTGCTGTGCCGAGGAAGAAGACGCGGTCCCCGGGGCTCCTCCGGTGGACGCGCCGCTCTTCCCGGTACAGCTGTTGCACAGGATCTCCCCCTGATTCCCCTTCTTCCACATGGAAGAGGAATTGGTTTTGCAAACGCTGCAGCAGGGCTTCAGTCCCAGCGGCATGGTCCCGGCGCGAAACGAGACGCAACTTCGGCTGCTTTCGGGTCGGGCGCGTCAGTCTTTTCCTAGAAAAAAACATGCGGGAGCTAGGGCTGCTGCTGCTGCTGCACTCTGTAATTTATTAAAGTTTAAATCTGATCGGGGTGGGGAGGGGGGGGACCATCCGTAACAAAAGCGGACCCCAGGAACTCATCTCCGGAAGAGGACCTCAAGCTCCGCCCGTAAACAGCGAGTCGATTGGCTATTCAAGCCACCGAGGAAACTCTCCGAGCTGTCACATTCGCCAGCTGCTCCTGGGCAGCGACAACTGCGTGTACCGCCCTCTGCTGGGTGGAGGACCGATCAGCTCCGATCACAAAACGTTAAAACCAGGAACCGGACCTTCGGTTTCATGGGTTCGTGAAGACAACGATTAGGTTATAATTGATAGGTTAGAATTAGGTTAGAATTGATCGTCTCATTTCGTAAAACTAATTTCTCTTCAGTGTGAAGACGAGAATGTTTCCCTTTTATAATGGTTCTAATGAATTGTGGTGATGGGGTGAGAAGAAATTTATATCCATAGTGCTGATAATAGACGCAACTAAATGAAATCCAACTATACCTTATAATTAATAATAATTGCTTAAACTTACATAGCTCTTTTCTGGACACTCTACTCGAAGCGCTTTATAAGTAATGGGGCTCCCCTCCACCACCACCAATGTGCAGCATCCACCTGGATTAGGAGGCCATGATTGGGAAGGGCCAATGGGAAATTTGTCCAGGACACCAAGTGTTACACCCCTACTCTTTTCGAGAAACACCCTGGGATTTTTAATGACCACAGAGAGTCAGGACTTCGGCTTTACATCTCATCCGAAGGACAGCGCCTGTTTACAGTATAGTGTCCCGTCCCTATGCTGGGGCATTAGGACCCACATGGACCGCAGGGTAAGCGCCCCCTGCTGGACCCACTAACACCTCTTCCAGCAGCACCCTTAGTTTTTCCCAGGATGTCCTCCATCCAGGTACTGGCCAGGCTTACACCTGCTTAGCTTCAGTGGGTTGCCAGTTGTGAATTGCTGAGTGATATGGCTACCTTGTTTGGCCAAAATGGATATGAAATGCAATTGCACTGCCAGCAGGTAGGACTTATCAAGACGGGGCAGGTCTTATAACTTGGGTCATATTCTTTCAAAACCTACACTTCTGAAACCTAAAAGAATATATGCAGTATCATTTGTAACACTTGCTTTGATGTTCTGTGTTCCGTGTTTTACAACAGCAGCACTTCTTAATACAACAGAACTGATTTCTTATTCTAGGCACAGAAGGATGATGAGCAGGATCAAGAGTGGCCTCTGTTGTGTTGTGGGAAAAGTAATTATAATAACGTGACCAGACAAATAATATCATGGTAATGTCACACAAAACTTATTTCACAACAGTTAGCTCCTCTTAATATTTCCAAGGTCTATGGTAAAAAAGAGATGAAGGGGGGAGCAGTATAATTCTGTTGCTATTCATAGAAAATCAACGATTCAAACAAAATGTTGAGTAACATTTCATTTTAGGGAGCTGAAAATCACACTTTATAAGAAGTGTTAATAAAGGTAATCATAAATGACAAATACTTGACTTTATCTACCATGCAATTAATCGTTAGTGACACTGCGCATCATCCACAATGAAGATCATATACTAGCTATCACAAGTTTAAACAGTTCTGACTCACTATAGTGAAAACGTCACTGGCTTATTGTACAACCAATATGTAAACCCCACAAAACAATTTTAAAATGGAATGAAAGAAAAAAACACACAAGGCAAGTTTTACACAATCTTTATTAAGAGTAAAACTTTACTGATACTTTCATTAATTGGCCAGACATCAAACATTACTTACTCCATATAAATTGGGAATGTATCAAGTATAGGCTATGAAAGTGCAAATAGCATTTCAAGGTTAAGTTGCTTTTTACAATATAAAATTTCACCTGGTTTACAAAATAGGTTTGCCAATTTTTAAAGTCATTTGCCATGACAAATTTTAAAATTCAGTACCAAGAAAATACAAATTGAATTTAATGATCTTTTTTCATGCACAGCACACTGTTACACAGAAGTAGACAATGGTTAAACTCCACAACTCAAACAAAGCTTTACAAAAGTCCCACGAAGTTCACTAATTCCATATACAGAACTCTTACACAGCTTCACTTTTGCAAGACAAATTTCAATGCAATACAAATCTTTTTTTTGTAACCGCTCTATTGATCAGGTTACAAATTAGTTCGGTACAGCCACACACCAATTTTGGGAAAGCCCAATTGAGAAAGGTGACAACTTGAGAAATACTCTGTTTGGACTCTGATTTTGCTGTAAAAAATCTCTAACATTATTATTTTCAACGAAATCATCAGGGAGATTCAATTTTAAAGAAATCCCAGCAAGCCAGCTCTTAAATCCTGTTCTGTATTGTAGTGTTCTTTAAGCACTTGAAACTAATCTCAGAGACACAATCGTGTCTACTACTCTTCCGCAGTAAACTTCACTGTTTAGTACGTTTCGCCAAACAAACAAACCTTAGACTGCATGCCTTAACTGAAGTAAAAAAAATAATAATCAAAAGAGAAACAACAAATGGAAAAAAAAAGTTTTCAAATGAAATGTTATAGAGTTAACCGACAGTGACCCACAATGCATTTGGCAATATTATACAGAAAGAGTTATGGAAAAACTCGCGCTATTTTCAATGCAATAAAAAACTGAAAATATCGAATGAGCTAAAGAGAATCCTAGAATGTATATAAAAATATTTAAAACTGGTGTATCATGGACACTGATATTTTATTGACTGTACCACTGAAAAGATGACAGCAGGAGCTGATTTTCTGTATGCGTGCTCAACAACGTTTTTATGAAGTGTGGCAATAAATTAAACAAGATCACACAAAGGCACAGCGACGGATTGCGTAGAAGAACCGTTTGAAGGTACTGATGCAGCCTGCCTGAGCTGCATGTTCAAATTTCTGCTTGAGCTTTTTGACTTCTAATTACATTGGCATTTTACAGTGCTTAAATTATGGAAAAAAAGGAACTGATTGCACTTCTAATAAAGTGTCTTATTTACTAGTGCACCTGTCGCGCCCATTCCTACTTTAATTTCACTAGCAGCTTCGATTGTTTAGTTCTACAAAAAAAAAAGCTGAGAAACCAGCTTGCATTTTTTAACACATTTTGAATTGTTGGTAGCTATTCATACATTTAAGAATGGGTTAATGAAAATTACTCTGGTTCTCAGCAATGCAGGCATGATTTGCATGTGATTAACCTAGTATTCTCTAACTGATTACAGTTTGGCACCTGTTGGCACAGAATTAGGTAGAACATACTGTACTTATGGAAATGAGACTAGAGCTCCCTGATTGTACTTTGGACATCACTGCCACGAAGAAGCAGTGTTGTTGGTTCCATTTCCATTCCTGCTGTCTCAGCATATTGTCACACTCAACAGCACTTGTTTCAAAGAAAAACAGACTGAGGAGGAGTGTTGCAATGGAGTATATGTCGAAAAAGCACTTCAAATATGTTTATGCATATTCTAAACTATCGCAAATTTGAGTAACAAGCAACTATCTCAAAAATCTGCGAATTTGAATTATTATCATCACAATCCCGTTTAAGACATTTTTTCTACAGATGCATTTGTACCGGCTGCACCTGATCGGATGGCGTTTGCCTGAAATTTCGATGGGATGGAGCAGGATCTTGTCTCACCGAAATAAAAGTGAGATTCCTTCCCACCTTTGCCCGCCATTTACTTTCATTAGCGCCGCACAAGGGTTTCCGGGATTCAGCATCCCCCCCCCACCCCCCGAAAGAGATGAAAAAAACATAGAGCCTCTCGTTTAGTGCTACCAAAGGAACATTGCTGCCACAGTTGCTAGTTTGCCAATCAGAGTGGTTGTTACTTTACAGGTCAGCTACATGTCTGCCAGTTCTCAGACCAGATGAACCTGCTCTTCCCACTCTGGAGAAGAGCTGCTTGGCTGAGGGTTGGGGTTCGAGTCTGTTTCTGGGGAGTCCGTGTCGTGGAGGTACGTGCCGCAGGGATGTTCCTCGCTGTCCGTCGTGGAGTCCCGCAGGGCTGTGCTCTCCGGGACGATGTCTCCTTCCAGCTGGCTCGGGCTGTCGGGCTCCGTGTCCCTGCCTGCCGGCAGGAGGTCCTGCTGCTGCTCCTCTGGATTCTGCGGCTGCGGGTCTCCAGTTCGGGGCGGCCCAGCCGCCTCACTGCCACTCGGTGGCTGGGCCTCTGTGCCGGCGTCCGGGGAGGCCGAGGGGACCAGCGCGATGCTCTGGGGGTTCATGTCGTGGAACCAGGCCATGATGTTGCCCAGGAGGTTAGCGTTCAGCGAGGGGTCGTGGCTGGCGGAGTCCGTGTCGCTGGAGGAGGAGAAGACCCGGCAGGAAGTCTCCCCGAGGGGCTGCAGGCTGTCGAAGGGCTCTGCAGCGTAGGGGCTGCTGATGTTTCCCAGCCTCATCAGGCTGTCTCCCAGCTCCAGCAGCTCAGAGCTGCTGAGGGAGGCGCGGGGCACCTCCACACTGTGAGCTCCGGGGTCCAGCCTGGAGGGCAGGGAGGTGCCAATCGCCCCCAGGGAGGCCTCGTTACTGAGGAACCCCTGGGGGTCGCCACCCACTGCCAGGCCAGACTCCTGCAAGGACAGCTGGATGGCCAAGAGAATATTGGGATCGTCCTCATCCAGAGAGCTCAGGGCCTGCAACGAGGAGAGCACAAGGCCCTTTAAAACCAACTTTGTTCTCACTGTGGGAATAACATTTTCTTTCAATGAAAACTGCTAACACTCACACTTCTGCTAATGAGAAGGTTCTGTTTCATTTTTTTTGAGTACCCATGACTTATTTTTCCTTTTCGTACAAGCTAATCGCCTGGTTTAGTGATGAAAGTTACTTAAAATTATGCATTTTCGATCTGCAACACTGCTGATTTGATAAAACTAACTGTATGACAAACAAATCTGTTGGCAGATCCAAGGTTCATAGCAGGACAAAAAATGAAAGTTGTCGTTTGTTTCTGTAAACATTTGAAGAATTACGTTCTGTTACACCATACAGTAACATTTAAAAAGACAGGACAATACTTACAGAACACGGTACAGTATGTGCCTGAAATTCAGTTAAGACAACTGCTGGCCACATTCAAAGGGAAACGCACAGCCCAGGGGCACAGCGGTGCCCCCACAGTGGCTGTGGATTGTTCCTGAAACAGAAGCATGCAGCAAAGCAAAGAAAATGGAGAAGGAGAGAAGGCAGAGCAGGGCAGGTACCTGAAGCGAGTCCTGGTTTTCAGAGGGACTGACAGGGGTATAGTCATGAAGCGAAGAGCTTTGCAGAATACTCATAGAAGCTGAACTCACCATGGAGGTGTCATGTCTTCGGCTGCTGTCACCCTGCTGGGCATCTAACAGGGAGCATGCCGAGAAAGCAGCAGTCAGAAAACTCACGTGTCCCGTAACACAGCCCTCCTCTCTCCCAGCCACATCCAATACCGGTTTACGCAACTCATTCCCGACTCCTGTCGGTGGAGCTGTACAATTACTGTACAAACCCTTAGTTCCCCACTCGCTGGAAAGCCCCAGGGGTGAAAGAGGCAGGAAGACGTTTCAGGCATCCAGGGTGAGAGCCAGGAAAAAATGTCTCTGTCCCCATTAAGACAGGAGTCCACTCATCAGGAAGCCCAAGAAAACCCCACCAGTAATTAGGCGAAAAGCAGCGTCACTTTAGCTAAGTGTGTGCATGGTGAGAGTCCTAGCTTTATCGATAAACAAAATCTATCTGCAAAATCTTGTAATCACAGATGTACAAAAGTGCATCTGTGATTACAAGAGCTGAAATTACACTGAAGTGGGTCGTCTTACATAGGCTCACACTATCAGTTGGCAAGCTCTGGGAACGGTAGTCATCGCGCTGAAAGAATTTTAAACCAAATTTAATTTTCTTTTCCTAAACTATTACCTGCAATTACAAAGGAAAGTAAGGCATTTCTCTCAGTTATTTGTTTTCTAGCTAATTGAGCCGAGGATCTTATCTAGCTGTTTCTTAATAAAAAGCCAGGGCATCAGCTTCAATAGTGTAACCGAGCAGCTTGCTCCTTACTCCCACAGCTCTCTGTTCAGTGTTCAGTGTTCTCAGTGTTAAGTGTACGTGTTGAGGAGCACAGGCCTGCATTGTGTACCTAAAGCGCTCTCGCTGGGGTCATCAGGGTCTGGAGTATTACTGCGCAGGCTGTGCATGTCTCCACGCCGTCTCTGCCTGTGTCTACGTCTGTACTGGAACTCAGCGTACTCCTGCAAAATCCACAGACAGAGGCAAATTCACCCCTCCTGCACCATCGCTCTGCCAGCCAAGCCCTACAACCCGCCACCTGGCCCCAGTCACGGCATCTGGCAGGCTTGTCGACGTGGGCTCACACTGGACCCCACCCGTCCACTCACTGCCAGGACCCCGGAGAGAGGCACACACCGGAAAAACAAGACAAGGCAATCCGAGACACGAAGGATGTGGAAAAAAACAAACTGGTCGTAATAGAGGGTCAGCTATGCTTAGCATGCCTGAAGGCCATTGATACAATGCATAGCCTAACTTGTTCTTTCAAGGCCTCTCAGTGCCAGTAATGACATGCAGAAAACTTCACTTTATGGCAACAGATTCAATGAGATGCCTAGACAGCATCGCGCTGTTAAACAAGGGAAGGAAAAAGAAAGTTTCTTTGCATCTCTAGTGTTAGCTGAGCCTCATAAAAGCACAACAAACAATAGAGAAAATCTGTAATGAGATGCTTCTTCACATCTTGAACTGTTTCCACATCTAATATAAAGGAGCTGGTTTTCTTGTAGGAAAACTGCAGGCAAGCTGCCCACCTAACTTACAAGAGAGCAGTTTACCCATGAAAAACATTATTGGCCAAAACTGCTATTATATATATGTGTGTGTCTGTGTGTGCGTGTAGGAGCAGGACTAACTAGAAGTTAATTTTTCTGTTTGCACTAAACAAGCTGCATTTTTTTCAAGATGGCTTTCAGTATCAGTTCCAGATATTAACTGTATTTTAGCAAAAATCATTTCTAGAATAACTATTGAATGTCTCCTTCTATCTAAGCTTCATGCTAATATTAGTTAAAAACATTGCAATCTTCAAGGTTTTTTCAGGACTAAAAAAGTCAAGTTTCTCATACATAAAAAACATAACTGAAAGTAAAGGTAGTGAAATGTGCACAAATTCTGTTTAAGAACCAAATGAAGAAGAGAACAGGATTCCAACTGTGTTGCAGGACATGTTGTTTTGGAACAGACACCCTCATTTCATATAATGTGTAAATATGTCAAGAGCCCATTCCATCTGGGCATCGATTTCCACTATCCAAATTCAAGTGCAACAGAACTAAGTTATCTTAGTCAGCTATGAACCTGTTTTATTTGGACAAATGACAGTATATTTTACTGTATATATATTTTATCTCATTATACATGTGTTTCTTATTTCTTACTGGGTTCATGTTGTGTTAAATGTATTGGGTTTTTATGTTTTACCTGCCTGCAAATTTCCAAATTCCCATTTGGGATGAAAAAGTAAACCTTTGCCACAAAATGTTGTCAAGTTTGAGCTGCAAAAGGTTTCTAAGTGTCATACGGGGAGCTTCTCTTTCAATTGATCACATCAATTTCACAAAGAAACTTTTTATACAGTCTAAGAGAAAACAATGACAGACAGACGTATACTGCATGTACACAGAGGATAAACATAAAGGAGTGACAGTGTTAATAAACAGCATCAAAGCCTAGAGAACTGATTTAGAGCTCTCAGCAGCACAATGATTTAGTATGATAAGACAAGTTATACATTATAGTGAAGACATTCATTTCTGTATCATGTGCCCTGCATTCTCTCTTTTAAAGAACATTTCATCGACCTGGTCTATTTTAAAATAAATAAATGAGGTGTTGTGTTCACATGATCAAATATCATTCGCAGTTTTATTCTTTTCAAGCATAGCGTATTCTAAAGTCCTACAGCATATGTTAATATGCAGGCTTTCTGAAACACTGAAGGCCATCCAAAGTATTATCATAAAAATAGAAGCTTTAGAAAACAGCTAAAGCTTTACTACAGTAATAAAAGTTCATTAAGGTCTGACGAAACCTTTCTGGATGTTTGTATGTGATCTGCTGAATCAATTTTCCATTTCAGCTCCCCTGAAGAGATAATGAAGGAGCAACAGATTTTTCTGTCCTATTTGTTGGGCTGTATTTATATTCATCACTAGCATTGTCAAAGAAAATCAATCTAAAAAAATATAAACTCTTCCCAAGTGACACACGCAGTCACTGACAACAAACGATTCAACTAAAAAACTAATTTCCCACAGAAAACTGAACAGCCTTGGCTTGTATTGTTTTCAAATAAATGCAACCAGAATGAAACATGACAAAAAGTCACCAGGGGGCTATGAAAACAACAGGAAAAGGGTGGCAAAGCTAAATTAGGGTTTAAATTTATTTATCCTTAGTGTCAGCTTTTTGGTATTGCCAATTTATAATCCTGGATAATGGGGTCTAAAGGCATGCGTGACAAAAGGATTGCAGCTCTGTCATTCTCCTATTCATTTATTCTGCATTTTCAACTGTGAGATTGTTGAAATTGTTTTAAACTGGTAGCTAAGGCAAAGCATGCATAAGGTATTAGAGAAGTGGGGTCACTAACAGTGTCACTGATCTTAATACAAAGGTTACAAGAACACATTCTTCGAGAAAAAGACACCTTTGCCAGGGCACTAGAGAAAAAAGACAGGCAAAGTCAGATAAAATAGGAACATTCAAATGAATTTACAAGGGCTCAGATTGTATCCAAATGTCAGTCAACCAAGAAAGCAGAGACCCCGAAACAGGAACAACTAATGACTTCCACAAGAGAATAAATCTCATTTAAGCCAAATGATCTCAACTTAAGGCTGCTCATACTAAGACAGCAAGAAAAAGAAATGCAAAGAAACAAAAGGAACCGGTGAAATTTGCATTAAAACCTACCCCAAAGTGGTTACGGAGTTTATCGAAACTGGGCAGAGTACTCACGAAAGCCCTTTCAACACCATTCATCAAGCATGCCTTTAACATCCGCCTGGAACAAGGTCTCACTGGACAGTAGTGCAGAGCAGCAGACTGATCCCAGGAGCCAAAGTCAATAAAATATGAAAACTTTCATTCCAACTACATTGCTGTTGTGTGGTTTAGGATGGAGAAAAGGGTAATTAAAAACACAAAGATGATAAAAATGGGATAAAAAGCACCCCAGTGTTTTAACTAATAATAATTAGAATGATAATAAAAAAAAATACTTTTTCTTTGTATGAAAATGTTCATGGTCGCTTCTGTAATACCTGCTGCTGGCCTCCTGAATTTTGACAGTTCTCTCTTTGATCATTCCCTCCAAGAACTGATTGATTCCTCAGGATCTTTAGATTAGAACAGAATAACACTTGAGTGACCTTCCTGCATCACAGCTGTTAGGCATCTGAAACATTCGCTTACTGAAAGCAAGTTACTCACATGCTCTATGTCTACTGATGAACTGAACAACATGAACTATATGAAACACAACCTTCATACTACAGATAAAACAACAACTCCTGAACAAATGGTTACCTCTGGAGATGCAAAACCTAAGTATTCCCAGTCCCAGGTTCCACCTGCAAAACTGTAAACAGAAAACAAAATATTGCACGCACTGATTTTTAACTGGGAAAAGAATCTGACATTCAAGTTTCAAGAGATATATATTATGACAATACTTACCTATTTGTTTATAACACAGCAGAGAGAGAGTTCTGCCCATAACCCATTAAAAGAATGCATTACAAGCCTTTTGATCAAAGAACTGCTTCTATTATAACACTATTTAGTCGTCGCTATCAGATTTTTCACTGGCGCTGAAGGAAGGCTTTCAGAGCTATGACAGTGTTGCTAGTAATGTATTCCACGCAGTCTAGAGAGACATGACAACAGCTGCCCCAGGAAAGCAGACAAAACGACTGACGAAAGATCAATATTATCTCAGAGGCTTTCCTCCCACAGGACAAGTGTCTCACAGAGCTGTAACAGTAGAGACCTAGCCTAATCAAAGCACAGTGAGAAATACAGGACATCTAATACTGTTATTGGTAAATGAATAAAAACATCGACTAGGTAACTAATTCCTCTACAAAACGCCAATTCCAAATCACCAGTAACTAAATTATTTTCCTGCCTAACATTTTAGGCTTCGTTAATTTTAATTTGGATTAAAATGGTGCATACAGTTCACAAATGAGCTAGAGTATAAAGTGCTTTACTTTACATAGATCTGAACGACTTCATCAAAATACTGTATAATTTAAGAGAGCAGCCAAAAGCTTATTTTAATGAGCGAAATTAAACTGGAAAAGACACTTTTAAAAGGGTCAGCACCACCAGAGCCTCGCAGAAAGCCCTTAATTAGTCTCGCTGCACAGGGAGGTCTGGGCTGCGCCGGGAGGAGAAACGGACACCTGACCTGCGGCGGGGGGCCTCTGGGGAGTCATTGGGGGCCACCCCCCGGGCCACCGATGCCAGGAACTCCTGCCTCTTCTGCTGAACGAGGCAAGCTGCCCGGATGATTTTGTGGCGGGGGGTGCGGAGGTAAGGCCGGTTAACTTTCTGCGCGAGGTCTTCCGTCACCATCTCCAGGTCCGTCTGGGGGCGGAGGGGGGGGAAGAGACCAGAGGGGGTCAGTGCCTGCTCTCCACCACCCTGCGCGGCCGTGGGACCCGTCGTTTTTTAATCACGCCGCCCAGCTCCCGCGATCTCTTTTTTTCCTAATAACGGCCGCCTGCCCCCGGGCCTCCCCAATCTCTCACACAAAAACGGCCGCGCTTCCTCACCTGCATAAGTTCGAAGATTTCTTTCTTTGTGCTTTTGGGTTCCAGAAAGAATCCGTAAGGATAAGAACACTTGAGGATGCGTCGAGTCTTCAGGAGCTCATGCACCGCATCTTCAATGAAGGTGGTGTCAGGGGGACCTCCCTCCCCTATGGAGAGGCGAACGGCACTATTACAGGTGTGTGGCAGTGTCCAGCTCACCTCACAGTCTGCCGAGTGCAGACAATACCACCGCTTTTCCATGCATGAAACTCAGGTAAATTATCAAACACTGTTTCCTTAACCCTTAAAGGTGACATATAGCACCAAGTAGGCCCTTTGGCCTAATATTGGGGCACAGGAGTTGCCCAAGATTAATTTTAGCCAACTCCAGCCCAAAACCCTGGCACCAGCCTGGATGAGATGACACTACAAAAGTGCCGTAAAAAACATGAGCCGTCACCCTGTCCTGCGCTTCCTACACAGTGAGCCTGGAGCCCAAGTCAGCTTGGGTCTTGAGTCACACAGGTGACTGACAGCACTGATATGGCCACCGATTCAGTGGTCTCCAATCTATGGCGGGGCTTGTTAGCGTGCCGTTTGTCAGAGAGCAATCGGAACAGGGATGATCAAATTTACTATTTTATCAGCAAGGACACTTTTGCTTGTAAAAGTGGTACCAGGTTAGGCCAGGCATTACAAAAACCAGACAAGCAGCGATCAACAGTTAGCATACCTCTTAAGCCAACAGTCTGACCACAGCCAGGAAAGGGCTTTGACCCTAAAACCAATCAATCCAGCCCGGATCAAGTTATTTTACTCAATAACTTACGCCCTTTCAAGGCTCTGCTGAGCTGTTCCATCTTTTCTTTGGCTGTTTTCAGGAGACGCTGTTCCAGCTGGACGAGGATCACAGGAAAAAAGGGACCAGTTAATTACAGCTTTTACATTATTCCAGATAATGTGATCCAGTTACTGTGAGGCTTGGATCTTTCTCTGCCACCTACCTGGTAACTGTGCTCATGGTTCTTATATCTTGTATAGTAGTGCATAAAACGGTCAAGTTCCTGGAAGGTCTTGTGCTTCTTCTCAGCCTGGAACACAAAAACCCTTCAGCTACGACCATCTCCCTTGCGTGTGACAGCACACACAGGAATTCAGACACTTTTACTGGGGGCAGCAGAATAACACTTAGCGCTTGTTTCTTGTACAGTGTTACACCATCATGCAAAATCTTAAGTTGTCAATAGTTATTTGCTAACATTCAATTTTGGTGCTCTTTATTTTCACACAAGAGCATGAAAATCTCTTTAAGACAAAATGCACATATAGAGCAAAATAACATTTATGCACTGCTATAAACTGGGTGTCACAGTTAAATATTTTAAGGCTTGGTTCTGAAAAAATGAAAATCTTTCTCCCCAACTTTGGTGTGAAATTGCCGAAGCAGTGATATTGCTAGTACTGTATATCTGCATGAAAAGCCGAAATACCCAACCACGTGCAATAGCTGATAACAGAGCTCATGTAACATGTAACAGTCTTTGGGGAATAAGTCAGGAAGTTTTCAGCAGAAGTAATAAACATGAATTTTCTTTTAAAAACATATTCAAATTACCGTATTAGTGTTTAGCCCAATTTCACATTCAGTTACAAAAACATTTCCTTTGTCAATTACTTTACACACAGCGGATCGCTTATGTTCTTGTGCTGTCCTTCTGGAGACACTTAATTTTGACATTTCGAATTTAACAGATGAGACTAAGACAACCACAAGCAATAAAACAAGACAGGAACCGTGGAATGCAAGTTAAATGCGGTATCGCTTGTTCTGTTCTTGTTTAAAACCGAGAATAGAAGGAACTTCTCTCGAGTATGGAACAAACTATCCTGCCACGCTGCTGAGGCTGTTTGAGAAACCCAGATCGATTAGTTACAACTACAGCCCAGGCAGATGAGCAGCTCCCCCTCATGACCTTCCTCATGTTTCCTGGCTAACCACAGCCCGCCGTGTACGACTCAATGTCTGCAGAATGAGGGAGCGCAGGTGTCCGACCTCCACGGTCATCTCCTTGGACTGCTCCTCCACCTGCTGGATGACCTCGTAGCGCGTGCAGCGGTAGTATCCGCCCGTGGAAGAGCTGTGCTTCTTCCACTCTTCAAGGCAGATCCAACAGAAGTCATACTTGCACTGCAAACAACAAGAAGTCACTCAGGGTTACAGCCCAACACTAAGCCACCCAAACAGCCACCCTAAGACCTTCCTCAGATCTCTCTGCATAGAGCAAACCAGTGGTTCCCAGTCCTGGTACCTGGAGCCCTCATTCCAGCCCTCCTTCATCAGACCATCGAAGCTGTGCTGGAGCTAAGAAGTTGCTTCGCTGGAATACTTGCATTTTGTCTCCCGTCACAAGACTGGAATTTAACCTCACATGTTTAAGAGCTGGGGAAAATCAGTTCAGGTTAACCTTATTATTATGAAGTCAATTATGATGAAGGGCTTGATTGTGAGGGCTCGTCTGGAACAAAAATCAAATGGGGTGTGGGGCACCAGGATTGGGAACTACTGGGATAAACGGAACAAACCGCCCCCATCTATCAGATTGTAAGGAAGGATGGTGTGTGGTTGGTGTACACAAGAAGGGGAAATCTCTTCTAAAAAAGACATGTTCAGAAATTAATGCCCTTGAATATGATGTCCACTATCCTTATAAGTTACAGGTAACTATAGATCCTCTCTCATTACACTTTAATGTCAAAGGCAGACCAGCTGAAACCCTACTGAGGTGTAATTAATCAATATTCTATATCCCTGTCTATTTTCGTGAATGTTTCTCTCAGATTGTACTATACTGCATCTGTAAAAACAAAGTCCCAACTTGTTTCTAACAAACAGGACAAAAGGTTCATTTTGAAAATAGCCAATAGCCAAATACTGGGTGTTTCTGAGCAATATGAACAGCCTCTCCTTTTCCAGATAGATCAGAACAAGATCAAGAGCACCCCACTACTGCTCTCTTCACTTAATCCTTCCCCTTTGTGGAAGCTAGCTAAAATGCCTCTCATAGATCAAGCCAATATTTTTTTACAGTATTGCATTAGTACTGCATTAAGTGAGCAGGATTACTGCAGGCCAGTCTGAGTTGCATTCTCTATCGAACAATACTGACACAAATATAAATTCATTTTATATAGAGCCTAAGTCTATCTGACAGTCAGCTTTCTGTAATGAAACCCATTCCCTGGCAATTGTCTGGCCAGGACATTGCGTGAAGCCTCCATTAAGTAAATCATGGTGAGACCAGAGCTCTTTCTTTTCATTTCAATCAAAAACCTGGCTCTGATACTCGAGTGTCAAGATTAAAGATGAAAAATGATGGGACTGCTAACCTCCCTCGGAGCAGGACTGTACACAAAGCAAACTCTAGGAAATGAATAAACAGGCAGCACAAAAAGACACTTCCAGACAGAAGCCAGCAAGGCTCCAAAACATGGAATTGGTCTTGTGTGTGCGCTTGTTATAGTACGTCTTTGCATTATTTCACTCTCAAATAAACTAGGAGGTACTTTCTCTGTTTCAAGGAGGGACAACGGTAACAGAAAACATCTTGAAAAAACAAACAAAACTCCACTTTTCAGTGATTAAGTGGACAGTTGATTTCAGTGCCATATATGCTTAAGACACTGCATAAACACAAGAAAAGCCCTCAATCTACAAAGCACATCTCAGGCATTCCACATGCTGCTTTCTTACAAGCTCCACTCCTTTCGACTGTGATGTTTTACGCCATAACTTTCATCTGCTAGAACCATTACTAGTTTAATCTACCACAGTATTTCAAATCTGATTCCAACCGTCATCCTGGCTGTGAGCTGGAAATGTGACAGTCGCCATATGGCTGATCCCTTCCTGCTCTCAGGAGCGTCTAATGCCGATTTACAGCAAGGCAGCCCATGAAATAGCAGGGAGCTGGTGGGAACGAAGCGAAGTGCTCCGAGTTCGGAGCACGTGTGTGTGCGAGCGCACGCTCTGCAGAGCACCTTGGCACACTGCATGTGATTGCAGCCCTCGTTCTTCTGGATGGGCGACTTGCAGTTGGCGCAGGGCTTGGAGTTGGTGAGCAACCACAAGCAGTTGGCTGCGTCTTCGTACGCCTCGCTCACGCCGACGACTTCCCAGGGAGAGAAGAAACAAAATTAGAACTGCTGGCCACGCCGAAAAAGAGGACTGCTTCAGCGAGAAGGCAGGCTGCGCTCGCAGGGTGAGACACCTCACTTGGCTGCTCGTGAGCCACCGTACAGCTGGAAAGGGGTTCTGGCTGAACAAAACCGTGAAGACTGGCTCGCCGAACACAATATTTGTTATAGGGAAATTCAGAGAGCTCCACCGCGCTCAAAATGGTCAAGCTCTATGCTTTGAAAGGGTTTGTAGGGACATAAGACTTGTAAAGCAGGATTAATTCAGAAACAACATCACGGATGTTGACCAATCAGATTTAATGTAGCCAACACAAAGCCCTCACTATCACCATAAAAAATGGGGTGAGAAAGACACAATTGGATTTGCTTACATGACGTATTCTACTCAAAGGGAGCTGCGCAGGCTGCTGACCTTAACCGCAAGGACGCAATGACACCTGTCAACATGCACTCACGTTCTTCAGGTTTCATCTCCGAGACCTTCTGGAGCCACATCTTCCACGTTTGGCAATCGCACGGTTCGTGAGCTTCTCCCAGGCACTCCCTGAAGGAAAGACACAGATATCACGACCACAGCTCTGGATTCTTTCATCAAGTCAATCTAAGCTCAATCAAAACCAGAGTGCCATCCTTGAAGCAGCATTTTAAAGCACAGAGTTGCAGTCATTTACACTCTTAAATCAAACACAACTCTTAGCACAGATATGCAACGTTAGATATACTGCAGAAAAGAACAGACCATCTGGTTTTCTTCCACCTCATAGTGCCTTTTGTGCAGTTACAAGATGACCCAAGATCATGTAATAGGTTTATTCCATGCGTAAAAAAAGAAGAAAGAGAACACAACGTTTCGGCCGTGGAGCCTTCTTCAGGTGTGGAAGGCACCTGAAGAAGGCTCCACGGCCGAAACGTTGTGTTCTCTTTCTTCTTTTTTTACGCATGGAATAAACCTATTACTTGTTCCTTTGCAGCCTACGCATGCTGACGCAGCTACCCACCTGAACTACTATGACCTAAGATCATGTTCAAGTTTGAACGCGCGATACACTGCTGGAGCAGTATGGTGGCCTGCAGTTTTTACCTACATTTACCCTCAGGTCCACTGCATTAGTTGTTGGAATACAGATATATCTGAAGTCAGACTGCAGTGCTGTGACTGGAGCAACTTTCAATAGCCTTGATGGCGAAATATTTCTCTCTAGAGATGAGATGAAACAACAGTTACCTAACACCGATGGCGTGCAAATATTTTCTCACTTAAATTTTCAAGTCCACACTTCTTCAGAGAGCATGATTAACTTTGTCATGGTGGGGAAACACACTCCCACACTCCATAACTGCACAGAAAACTGAGCAACAGCTTTCCAGCTCTGCTGGAAGGTCTTTTGACCCTTTACTAAGGTACCGCAGGTGCCCTGCTAGGACAAACCCACGCAGAGCTGCTTTTGCAGAAGTATTGTGCACATGAACACAGTATGAACACGACAGCGGGCTGGACGCAGCAGGGCAGCGGATCGTGATGTTGAGCTGGGCTGACACGGGGCGCCTGCGGGCAGATCGAGGCCTCGGCCTGCCTCTGGCCTGCCCCGGGGTTAGCGAAGGGGGAGAGAGGCGGAGGACCTTAGGCCTGTCACAGCCTATCCCTCATTACGAATGACACTGACACAGGCTCCAGGAGGTGGAGAAGCCCTCGGCTGTTTTAGCTCTTGGTTTTACTAGGATGCAATTTAATTATTTTTCCAAGAATTTACACAAGGGCTTTAACACCTCTAGCAGGCATGCATTGCTACACCTTTACGTATGATGAAGGAAAAAAACAAATTTTTTTCCACATGCTTGTGTCTAACAGCAGGACTACGACTGCAATTTGGTTATTTGAAAATTTATAGCAGATTCTTTGACAGCTTTTTTTGTTACTCCTTGTAGCATTCGGGAAAGCATTGTAATACGCCAACTTTCTGCTTGGTTTCCTAAACAATGTCGTAGAAAATGACAATTTCTCTGCAAACCACCAAGCACAGTTCCAGTTTAACTGGAAGGCAAATTTCTGTAAATTGCCACACACACAGGTAAAGATCACCACAGGCCCAGAGGAGAGAAGGATCTGCACACAGAACAGCAGAACCTGCATTTCTGGATACAAGTCTTCAGAGTAGAAAAGCCACTTATCAGCCTGTCTGACAGATTTTTTAATAGTATTCAGAGGAATCTGATAAGACTCTTAATGAATCCAGATATTTATAATTCCAGTTACGTATGTACATGGAACATCAGTTTCTGTAACAGACAACACCAACACTGAAGTAGGTCAAGTAGGCAGCTGTGTCAGCATGCGAAGGCTGCAAAGGGACAGGTAAAAGGTGCTACACCTGAAGAAGGCTCCACAGCCAAAACATTGTGTTTCTTTTCTTCTCTTTCTAGCATGGAATAAACCTTAACTTGTTCCTCCACTCCAATACTGGCCCTGTGTGAGTTAAATACGTCCACCGGAAGGCGCTTGCTGGCCATTCCGTCCAGCTGCGGCCGAAAGTCCACCTGGATTCTCACTGACCAGCAGAAGAGGTGGCCTTTGCCGCAGTCCACAGCTGGGGCTCGCAGGAGGGGGAAGCTGAGCGAGTCCGAGCCGGAGGCAGCCGGGCCTTGTCTGGAGAGCCGCACCGCCCGCTCGCAGCCCGGCGTGGGGCACCACCGGATCGCGGGGTTGTTCTCGACGAACGCCTGAAACCAGACGGGGAGGGGTCAGCCGCTAGAGGAGAGGGCGACGGCTAACGAGCCCTGTGAAGAATAACCCACCCAGTCACAGCGATATACAATGTGGGACAATGAACACACTGCGTTCACAGGATTTTGTTCACGGATGTAACTCAAATTCTACAGCTTACAAAACTGTGTTGACATAGTAGTACATCAACTAAACTCAGTACTACATTGTACTGAGTACTAAAATTGCTATTGTGTTAGGACTGGGCTGATTCATTATTAAAGATTTGCATCTCCAGTTATTTTAATATTTTATATAGGAGAATAAGAAAAAAAAGTTTCCACCCCCCCCACTCTTGCCTTACAGTGTTCATGCTGTATAGCCTGTTTCATTTCGCTTTTAAATAATTCACATTACGTGTACTCTGTAAAAGATGCAAGGTGAAGTTTCGAGCCTCAGACAGCTGAGAGGAGCGAGAGAGTCTGTGAGTGGAGATGAGAAGAGGGGAAGGAGTGAGCGATATTAAAGGGACTGTAACTCTGGTTCTGTGTTACTGCCCCTGACAGTGAAGTCAATTCTCTTCCATCGCCCAGTAAAAGACGATAATCAGAAATTCTCTTTACCCAAAAAAGAACATTCCAAATCATTTATAAAAACCATTTAAATAAACTACGTTTCATCCCGACTGATGAAAGGTTTATTTTGTAAAAGTAGGATTACCCAGCTGTTATTCTGCTATTCTCTTCTCTTAGCAGTTATATAGAGGGGAACATAGGTCTACCGCACATTTCAGTACAATTGGATGAGATAAAAAGGGCCGTTACAGTCACCATGGATGAGCAAACCCTGTAATACTATATCATTAGTTTTCCGGCCATGGCACGTTTCCCAGAAAGCACCCTCTAGCAAGACGAGCTTCGGGGAAAATAACTAGCTGCGATCTTTGGAGAGAATACAGGGCAGGAGTTGAACACGAGCTGGCGGTGGCAGGGGGAGGCCACTACCCCACTGGCAGGCAGCTGAGGCGCAGCAGGAGAAAATGACAGCGCCGACAGAGCAGCGCCCCGGCAAACCAAATTCACATCATCGCTGACATCCGCCGTGTAACTACAGCTCTGGATGTCAAAGACGGAAGATTTCTTTTTCTGTCAGCACACAAGCCCAGGCATTTTTACATCTGTTTTAATCGATTAATTCAGTGTAGCACGTGGATTTTTTATTCCTTGTGGAGTGGGTAGCATCTTCCTTTTTATTTTTCTGAAGTGACATCTGTACCTTAATGTCGAATTGCAGATAGCGTTTATCCATCTCCCTCGAGACCACACTCTCTATGACGTCCACAGGAACCAGCTGGAAACAGTCATAGGCCGGGCAAAAGATATTGTGGGCTTCTCCTTCCTGAATCTTCATGTTCAAGAATCTGACAGGAACAAGATGGAGAGTCACAAGGACAAACACACAGTTTTACTCCCTCTATTTCACCGGGCGGCTTCAGATTGCTATCAAAAACCTGATAGCAATCAGTAATCTCCACAGAGCACTATAGGAGATTTTGTTATTTAACAGACAATCTTTAAGCACTGCTTCATGGAGATAAAAATGTTGACCTTCACAGAAAACACAGAAGGGAATTACTTTAAATGTGAAAGGAACCTACAATCTTAATGTAACTTTAACTGCTCTTGTTGGGATTCAATAATTCTAATTTCTACTTCGGTGTAGAGGATAAGCAGAGCAGAGCAGCTGCCAGGCATGTGAAATAGACACCCACCCTTCCCAGCATGCTCTGCAGAACTCGTGTCCACAAGACATGTCCACTGGGTCTTCGAACACAGAGATTGTGCACATGCAAATACCACACTAGGAGAAATGGGGAAAAAAAGTAATGAGAAAAACAGCCATGACTTTCACATCTTTTCAACAAGCCTGCCCAGACCAACATCTTTTTTTACCACCGAAACCACGGAACTCTGATCCTCTGTAAAAAGGACTGCAAAACAGCAATAACAGCTGAGTGCTGCAAGCACTCACGTTAAAGAAGAGGCACATAATACAGATCCAGCCTGAGAGGAAAATCGGTTTTCATGAGGCTAGTACAAAGAGTTATGCGCTGCTACAGTGAGGCAAGTCAAACACAAAATCTCTTAAATTTTGTGTTTGACTTGCAACTGAGGCTTTTCCTGTATTACGGCATGATAATACTTTACATATGAAGACTGCAGACTCAACTTGTCATCACATACCGTGACCTCCAATTCACAGCTAAAGCAATATCTGCATACATTCGTTTAAGCATTACTATTTGGAGACATACATGATACATACTGTAAATATACATGTTTCTTCAATTTGTTTTTAAATAAATGAAACAAGGTCTGTGAAAACCGTGGCTGTGGAAGATAACATAAAAGGAAAATGACAAAGTTATATCAAATTTGAGATCATTTAGGCAAATGAGTGCACATCATGACAATTCACACAGAGAATGGGATTCTTCAGAGACTCTTTAATAGTTTGTATTTCTTAAGAACTGAAAAAACTCTTCTGATATTTTCAAATTTCTATTTTTATTCCAGATCCTACAATCTGCATTAAACTGTGTAGGAACTGGAGAGATTTAAATATATTTTGAAAACACAAAAGGAAACTAACCAATACTCGTTTCACATTCACGTGCTTTACCTTAAGGAGACAATTTTATAAGGTATTGAAACCCAGTTTCTCAAGTTAGCTAACCCACCAAAAGTCTTCATTAACACTGGCCATGATTACATGAGAGTTCAAATTGCAACATTTTAACAACATCACATGAGCATACTTCAACAAACAACTTCAGTTGTTTATTTGGAAAAAAGCATATTACTGAGCCAATGTCTGAAAGTTACCATCTGCTCCACAACCACCTGCCTTCTGTAAATATTCTGTAAATATTCTCAGCAGAATAATAGATGACACCTTTAGAAGCATTAGTTCTGTGGCAGTGAGCCTTGATGATGCACATTTCCACTACTGTACAATTTGTACAAACATACAATCAAGCCATTTAAAAGCACTACATGCATTTGGTCAGCTATGCAGCAGAACTGATCAGTACGGAAATTATTCTGCCTGTCAAAAGGATGTCACCCAGGGGCTGTTTCCTGTCATAAGGATGTGTAAAATGTCACGGAATAGCAGTCTCACAGACACACTTATCTACAAATTGTGGATGCAATGATGTTTCAGCGCATAGACTGACTGAACAATACAAATATATTTCGAAAAAAAGAATTCATTGTTTTCTGCCAGCGCTAAGGCAGAAACTGTGAAAGGACTGATTGTGCTGAAATCTAGTGACCTTTTAAGTAACTCTTCAAAGAAGTTCAGCTCTAAAGACAAGAGCAGTCTTTTCATTCACCGCACAAAAACATATTGTAAAATATTCACACTCAGCAGATATCCTTGAATGCCCTTATGGTATTATATACAATGCCATGATATATTAAATTCATGATTTAGCATTTATGCTTGTATACACTGTCTCCGGCTGAAACGAACATTTCAGGAAACTGGTAGAGCAAGTCAAAGCAAAGACCTCCTCCATTTCACTTGCCTGGGAAGGCCCAGAAAGTGAACATTAGTTTTATCCAGGGAATCATGTTTTTTGCATCTATGTGCATGTTTGTTTGGATTTGGGAGGTGGGGGGGTTAATCAATACGGGGTAATTAAGCTTCACAAGGCAACATTGCAAACATGGCTTCAAGGAAGAAGTCAACATTGTTATGATACATAACAGGCAGGTGTCACAAGAATAATCTATTAACAATTCCTTACTTCCATAGCTCTTTCCTGGAAACTCCATTCAAAGGACCCCCCTCCACCACCACCAGTGTGCAGCCCCACCTGGATGATGTGACGGCAGCCATAGTGCGCCAGAACGCTCACCACACACCGGCTCTCAGTGGGGAGGAGAGCAGAGTAATGAAGCCAATTCAGAGATGGGGATTATTAGGTGGCTATGATTGGTAAGGGCCAACTGAAAATTTGGCAAGGACACCGGGGTAAAACCCCTACTCATTTCAAGAAACCCGCTTGGATTTTGGATGACCACAGAGAGTCAGGACCCCGGTTTTAGGTCTCACCTGAAGGACGGCGCCTTTTTACAGTATAGTGTCCCCCGTCACTCTACTGGGGCATTAGGACCCACACAGACCGCAGGGTGAGAACCCCCTACTGGCCCCACTAACACCTCTTCCAGCAGCACCCTTAGTTTTTCCCAGGAGGTCTCCCATCCCATCCCAGGTACTGACCAGGCTCACACCTGCTGAGCTCCAGTGGGGCTGCCAGTGGTGAGCTTCAGGGGTGATATGGCTGCCGGCTACTACAATGGGAACAAAGGCTTCATTTCTATGCCAGGACGAGTGGATGGTGCAGAACGAACTCTTACCAGAGGCATGTCCTCGTCCCCGGGAGACAGGCTTATTTCGTCAGGAGACGTGACGGAGGAACGGGTAGTCCGGGGAGTGCGTGGGGACGGCAGGGTGTCCCACGCGTTATACCCACTGGGAGGGGGGATGGGCATCTGCACTCCTGAGCGCTGGCAGCAGTCCTCGGCATTGGACATCCATGCCTCTAACAACTTTTCCCTGTCCCAGTCTGTCAAAGAGGAGAAGGGTGACATGGAGTTAGCGCTGAAATCACTTTAGCACTGCACTGACCCGGCTCCCACAACTGCACACTCCAGAAACAACGACAAAGGAGGAAAAGCAAGGGGCTGAAGAGGTATTCAGCCCCTTGTTTAGAGCACATGCTAGCGCTGATGAAATAAAGGTTCTCTCTAGACTCCACAATTGTTTGTAAGGCAGATGGCATGGGTTAGAGAGACCATACAAGTGGTAGTAAGTAACACACAAGGTAGTAAAACCGAAATGTTGTTTCCTTACAGCCCACTGCCCTGAACTAGAAAGGTAGCTGTGCATCATGTGTACATTTCTAAAATAAATTACATTTCCAACAGTTAAAATTGGATCTCAGCGGCACTTCTTCAGATCCCAGTTCTGTGCCCAACCAGAACCACTTGTTCACCAGAACAATTTTTTCACTTGTTGACAGGCCAGAGGTTTAGCTGTCAGCGTGCTTTAGCCTCTGATTTGCACTGTGCACTGTCTGTAACTCAGAATGCAGAGAAAGAGTTTTTTAGTCATCCACACTTGGCAAAATATTGCCACCTTTCTCGTGTGCAGACTGACTCTTTGTCACACTGAAGCTGTTTAGTCTCTCTGCTCTGCTGTTGTTTCAAAAACATGTGAATGTTAATCTGCGTCTAAATTAATTCTCTCCTTGCGGCTAAAGAGACTAGCCAAGCAGGAAACACTGGAAGGAATTACTGAAGTCCCAGGATGAATATAACCTCTGTCTTTTTCATGGCCGATTTTCACATGCAGCACAGATCACTAACGCACTACAAAGCCTTTTGTTTGTAGAATGGAGCAAATGATCAATTTTAGATGGCATGTAAGTGTGCCCAGCAGGGGATGTTCACAAAGAAACCAGAGAGTGCCTGCACAGAAGCGGGGCAGGGAAAGCAAAGAGGCGTTTGACAGCTCGATTTAATTACAGTTTATACATCCACAAAAATCCGCTCTCCGGCACTGCCTGGGTCATCGAACAGCATCAACAGTTATTTTGGTTAATTAAAAAAGTGTCGCTAATTCAACAACAAGCGAATTCAAAGGCAATACATTGTTCTACTGTGTTGCGGGGTGTGAAGCAGTGAAAGAGCCCTAGGCCTGGTCAACACAGCCCACACCCACTCATCAGCCTCTTTTCTGTGCATAAACAATATCACTGATCTCAGCAAGAAACATCCTCACAGCCCACACCTTAAGAGCACATCTTCAACATTACCTTCATGGCACATATTAATAGCACCTCAACAGAAAAACCGACAGCGCAGACTGCAGGCCCCGATTCAAGGCACATGTCTGAACTGCTGGTGTCCTTCTCCTCGGGAGATTCATCCAGGAACAGGAGCGCCAGCACTGGCTGCTGCTGACTGCTCTACTCGGCCGGACAGAAGCTGGCAGCTGGCACGAGCCAGGCTTCGCCATCGGACCCTGTAATCCACTTTTCACTCAGCACCTCAGTCAAGGCGCCAGAAGGTGACAGGTGGCAGGCTAGCAGGGCCCGGATTAAAACATGAAAAGAGACGTCGCCATTCACAAAATACGTAAGTGATACCTTATGAAGAGTGCATTCTAACCATAACATGGCTATTTCAAAATGAGGGCTTCATTCATTCACAGCTTATGGTTTGACATGGACATACTTATAAAATCGATAAAAATATGAAGGAAAATGTTAAGCGCCTATGAAAAGTACAGAGGTGTACATCATTCCATATTACATTTTTAGTTTTCATTATGTTTTATCTTTCCAGATTTTGCCTTAAATATTCTTTATTTATCTTAATATTCCATATTAATCAAGCAGTATGCTTCTGTACTTTACTCCATAACAAGCAACAGTAAATTCAAAACTCTTTCAGTTATAACAGCAGGAAGAATATCCCACCTGAAGGACTAAGCTACCTAGCTGTGGCTGTTGTAGCCAATATCCTGGCTGAATGAGATCATTGAATCAATTAACTACTATGCGGTAGACGAGCTGTATGGCCACCTCTCATTGGTAACATTCCTTATGCTCTTCACACCAATTTAAAAAGAAAAATAATCACCTAATCGCATACCAAACAGAATCATTACTAACCATTTCTCCAAGATACTCTATGAGTTTGGGGGGGAAAGGCAATCACAAACATTCCACAGGCTACAATGCCACTCCTTCAGGTTCGGATTTTTTTCTGTTTGCACTCAGATCAGGTGGAAACATACTTTCAATACGGGTATCAGGGCCCACTGTGGACTGGAACACTAGGAACATTCAGAGAATTCCCCAGAGGCATCCAAAGCTATTAAGAACTTAGTGGCACTATTCATTCACAGGCAACAGACAAAAACAGCACTGTACTGCAGGGTCTTCGGTATTATTGTTTCATGAGCTCGAAGAACTGCGGTTTGCGACGTTCTTCTGCAGGGACTGTTTGGAGCTCAGGGAACAGAACCCTGTCCCCTCACAGCTCCCTGTAACTACAGGCAGCTTTTAGGACAAAGGGAGCAGAAGAATGATGGCGTCTTCACTTTGTGGACAGCGAGGCATTTCAACGCTGTTTTATTTTTGTTGATCTTAACCGGCAGGTTCAAATCGACTAGCGTGTCAATGAAGGACAAAATGCGTACCAATTATTCTGTGCAGCCTACCAACTGTGTCAGTGTTTAAATCCAAGTCCAAAGATGTCACCACAAATTTGTGCTTTGAATCTATTTTCACATAAAGCTGCTAGGATATACCCAAAAAACCTTAACCTGTCCTGTGTTGGGGATTTCAGGCTATGTGGGCAACAAACATGGCTTTCAGAAGCAGTGATTTGTAAGTGCAGAGAGCTCCTTGCCTCTGCCCCAGATTCTCTGAGCAGAGAAAGTGATGACTCATGCAAACAGGAAGTGTGCTCGCAGTAGTGCTTCTCTGGCGTAAGGAGGAGACAACTGCAAGGTAGGTGATCTGTGAAGTGTGGAGGTGTTTCTTTCATTGTTCTTGATCCCCAGCTCGAAGTGCCTGATCTCTCTCTTGGTGAGGTGTGCTGCTCCCTTCTCCTCCCTATCCGCAGGGCATTCGGAGGAGGAACTGTACCATGCGCTCGGAGCAGAGCTTCAGCAGTGAACAGAGGCGCCTGGAGCATGTCGGCTGTCTCCACTATCAACATGTCCTTCAGTCGTCGCAGGTCTTGAGGCCTCAGGCCCTCATATGGCTGAAAAAGGACAAGAAAAAAGAGCGATAATGGGTCTCATTCTGTATCTTTTTAAAAGCAACAACAAAGAAAATCAGAATCCATAATACGGCATGGGGCACAGTTCTCTCTTGTTCTGGCGGGATTTAATCCTGATTACTCACGGGCTCCGAACACGCACATGCCACTTCCCGGACGGCGGACAGCTCCGCCACACCACAAGACTATCTCTGTCAACATTACGGAATTGGGGACGGTGCGGTGGCTCAGGATCTGCGCCTGTGGCTGGAAGACAGCCGGTTTGTATCCCGCGGCCGGCAGAGGAATCCATTGGACCCCTGAGCAAGGCCCTTAACCCCTACTGCTCCAGGGGCGCCTTATAAATGGCCGACCCTGCGCTCTGACCCCAAGCTTCACTCCCTGTCTGTGTGTCTCATGGAGAGCAAGCTGGGGTATGCGAAAAAGACAAATTCCTAATACAAGAAATTGTATATGGCCAATAAAGTGATCTGATCTTATCTCTTACTAATAACTCTCCACATAAGAGACTCGCAAGGCTGTCCTCTGCCCCTGGCAGGGATCAATCACAGCCGCCAGCAGGCCCAGAGCTACACAGGGGATTCAGCTGCGCCTCAAGAGCAGGCCCTGTGCCACAGCAGAGTTTGACTTCATCCTGGTTTCAGAGGGGGGTAATGCTGAACTCTGATGTGCAAGAGCCCTGTTACACATACGAGCCCGTAACCTTAAATCCATTTAATCAGCAAAATCAGATGCATATTAACAGGCTGTACTATAATCTATAGTAAAGAGAACCCTATGTACTTCAACAAACCGCCATAAGCATAGAAAACACAGACAAAATATACATTTAGGTGGCATTAGTTACATACTCATCAGAATGGAGAAATCTTACAGATAGCTATAGTCACAGGAAAGGATTGCAATTCATAGACTACTACACTTTATGACAAAAGATACCAAGGCATCAATTTAAAACTGCTTTTTTGGACAGCTATCCTAGCCCACCGTCCTACAAAATCAGATTGTTTTACATGCTGGCCATAGCGGGAATCCAAAAACTATATAACTACAATAATGGGAGCCAGTTGGATTTGTTCAATTAAAAAACCCCATAGATGGGCTGTTTGTCATTTTACCAATATAAACATTCTCCTTTAATTTCTGTTGAAGTAAAACACTTGGAATTTACAAAATGCTCCTATTACAGGCAAAGTCTTGATGGAATTTTGTTGGGGATTAAGTATTAAAGTGGAGATTGCATCTGCACCTGCACCTAATCATAGCACTCTGTAAAGTCTTCCAGCAATAACCCCTACACTGCAGCCAGCCCCTGCCCTCACGCTTGTCAGAGAAGCTACCATGTTCCTCGGAGGACTTTGTGAGCTGAATGAGAAGCATAGCTGGAGCTTTCTCATGATGGGTGAGTTTTCGGCGCAGAAGATACTTAGGTAACAACGGTAACCATTTGTTAGAACTCAGAAGGTAAGAATGTTAAAGCACCGAACCAAATGTAATAAAAAATCTCACAGCAGAAAGGAAGCTTTGCTTCTTAACCCCACTCAGAGGTAAACGCTATACCAGGAAAGGGAAATAAGCACATAGGACTGGAAGGCAGCAGATCCCAGCTCCTTATTTGCATTCTCTTCAGGCAGCTGCTCGGAGTGTGCATGAGTGCAGCTGAGTTACTACATAGCTGCAATTATCGGATCTGGCCAAAGTCCAGAACAAACCAGATGACCAGACAAAGGTCATTCATGGTGATAGAAGGGGAGAAAAACAAACGCCATCATTAAGCCTGCCTTACTCATGAGGAAAACTATACCCTATTCCTATCCTTCCATAAATCACCAACTTGTGATTGTGACAAGGCACAAGCGTTCAGTGATACTAAAAGTTTTATCCAAAACAAAAGCAAAGCACAAAGCACAAAGCACAAAATAATATACATATATACATAAAACCATTCTAAAAGCGTCTTCTTTTTTTACCCAATGAAAAATATCAGCAGATTTTGGCAGCAGTTTAATTGGTTACTGATACATTTGTGGAATGTGAACTATTTTTTGCATCAAAAACCCTCTGCTTCTGTGTAACGATGATTAGCGCTTTATACATCATATAGCCTGTACTGAGGCCTTGTGTTTAACAAATTCCATGCAAAGGGAAAACTGCCTAGTCTCCGTCATTGAACACACAGGAAAAGAAACTGGTCGCTTCGCTAGTGTTTCTAGACTGCTTATCTGAATAAAAAGAATAAAAAGAAATGGCAGTTAAGGGTAGGGTGAATAAACTAACTGCAATGCAAAGGAAAGCCCTTCACTCCTCCCTTTAACAGCTCAAACTAATCTCCCAGATTGCAAATAAAGGTCCAGAAGATTCCTGGAGAGCTCTGCTGTTCCACGTCATCTGTGTTAACATGGGTTGGCTGCAGTGTTTCCTCTAATTTTTAATGGCCTGCACGTGTGCAAAAATTTCAAGTTGTGCTAAATTTTTTCCCCAGTGACAAAACCTTGTGTGCACTAAATTGAGTGTATGTCAAATTGTAAACCATGAAATTATTTTTTGTTAATATAAGTCATCATATCAGTCGAAAAGACCAGTTCCACGAGCCCAGTCATAGAGGCTGAGTGCCGAGCGAGCATGGGCAGTGAGGTACGAGACTGAGAGCAGAGATATCGCCGATCGAGTAGCGATAATAATGCACACAGCCAAGTTGGGCCTCTCACAGCCTGTCTCGTGGTCAAGTTGGCATTTTTCAATTTGTGTGTTTGTTGTAGTATTAACTTTTTTGGGGGAATTAAATTTTTTGTGCGCAGTTCAATTTCCTGTACTCGCTGATTTTATAACCTGTGTGCGCGCAGCTTAGAGGGAACATTGGCTGGCTGGACAAGAGCTGCTGTACTGCAGCCAGTCCATTAAGCACATGCTGAAGGGCTGCCACCGTGAGCCCTAATTGCTATGTTGAACATCATCAAAGCAGCACTTTGCCATGCAAGACCTTGTGGAAATCTGCTGCAGTGCAGAAGAGCCCGTCTGGTGTCTAAGCACTGTTTCTAGGCACTCAAGTCATTTACATCCTCGGGTTTACAAACAAGGACTTGAAAAGTCAGCTAGTATGCATAAGTTGGACTTCCTTAGGTGACACTAAAGTTGGGGGGTGGAAAGAGGTACACACAAGCTCTCTTAGTTTGCTGGAAGTGTGACAGAACATTTGAGCATGTAAAGAATTTAAGATAAGGGGGCTTTCCAGTGTATCACTGCACACTGATGGCAGAGTATTAGTCTCTTGGCTATACTGTGTGGATATTAAGAGCACCGGCAAGATGATGACCCCCATTAAGTTCACCAATATATGATTTTAAAGAGCAAACTGGATACTACAGTTGCAGATTAGGAGCTCAACTCACAAAAGAAACCTCACCCAGGCAGATCCACACCCGTTTCTGCAACCCAAAGAAACTAGTAAGATAGACTGGCTTCACCCAGTGAGGCCTCGGCTGTGGAACACGAGGGTTACCTCTCTTCTGTCCAGAGCGGCGTACTCGGCTTCGATGTCGTCGGCTTCGGGGTCCCTGGAGAAGACCATCTGGGACTCCAGGCTGAGGGCCAGCTCCTTGTGGTGCTGCTTCTCGGCGCAGTCGCACGGTGTCTCCTTGTTCTCATTCTCCGCAAACAGGTCTGCGTCGCTACTCACCAAGTGCTGCGGGGAGCGGAGAGACGGGGAGTGAGCTTCGGCACGCAGCAGACTCAGCGGAGACCCCCCAGCGCCCGCTGCCTCTCCCAGCCCTCGGAATCTGTGTCCGAGTCTGATGGACAACACAGCCCTGTCTTCGTGCACCAATCTACACAAACCTCTCCACCCTGTAACAGGCAGGTCCACACCTGTTCCTGCAGACTAAGATCTGGTCTTGGTTGGTTCATTCTTTTTAGAACGTGAAAAGAAGGACAGTTCCTTTTTCACTAATCATATGCTTAGGATGACACGCACGTTTTCAGAAATTGTTTTTTTTATTGTCGTTGAGATTACAGTTCCTGGTTTAATCTACTTTCTAGCCTTGTACTGAAAAACACTAAAAACCACAACAGTGGCATCACAAAATATTAGTCATATCACAAAATTGTTTTAGTGTCACTGGCCTTTTAAAGTAACTCCATTCATGATGAAAAATAAGTATTTCACTGACCAAATTACTTTTAATTTTTCTTTTCCAGGAACCCAGTTTTGCTTGAAATGTAAACATGTGTAAACATTAGACAACCTGGTTTTAAGGGACTTTACAAACACGAAGCTGAGCATTACAATCCACATCCAGAAGAGATCAGATCGGATTGTTCTAAAAGAAGCTGTGATGTAAGGCAGTAAAGCAGTTAGTTGATCACTTAAGTGACAGAAAGTGTAGGTTTTGTAGTTCAGTACTCTATAAATTAAATTTGAACATTTCTGTACAAGACATTTGTGCTTTACTACATATTTCTGGAAGCAAGGTTTAATTTTCTTATCTATATTAAGTGCCTTTTCTTTTTCCTGTGCTTTTTATTTTAAGCATTAAAAAGCCACTGCTTACAGCTGGACTGGGCTTAGAATGACAAGAAGCAGCTCCTAGCTGTGCATCATTGCAAAGAATGAACAATGTTCCTGGTATGACATCAACATGAAAACCTGAACACAGAAAACAAGCCTATCAAGTATCATGGGACAAGCCATTTTTTTCTTGCGCTACAGTTCTAGTGAGACCTATAGAGAAGGTGGAATATTCCCACCAGCAAGAACACAGAGACCTCTAAACTGAAATATTGCAATAAAGCTGAAAATAACAACCTGATACTTTAAAAAAAAGCCAAGTGCTTTAATGACAGGCACAGCCCTCATCTCAAAATTAAACAAAAAAAAGCGTCTGGATTTTTTTCTTACGCTACAAGAACACATTACGAGAGAGACCTTTATCCAAGCCGTCTTGACGTGTTCAAGACTGAAAGGATTTGTGCTGGAATGGCTGAGACAGTTCTGAGCTGTAATCGGTATCAGGTTGAAGAAAATCTAATTTTGAAAATGGCTGAGGCCATTTTCAGGGGTGGCTAAAGTCTAGGAACATGACCCAATCCAGAAAAAGGTCTCATCAGCTCTCCTGTGGCAAAGGTACCTCAAATATGCTTTACTTATAAAATGTGTACTGCATGCTCAGAACATTTCAGACTTCGTTCTTTTGAGGGAACAAAAACATAAAAACACAAAACAAAGCACCACATTGATACCACCTTAAGGGATTAGGAGTTTTTAACTCAACTATTACGCCCTTTATAAAGTGATAAACGTCTTACTTGAGAGAAAAGATAAAAAACCGGTCAGTTCTATTTCATTGGTGTCGTGAGCAGAATCACTCTCCAGGCTCTTTGCTGTTCTTTTCCTCTGGGCACCTGCAAGGTTGCCTTTATACTTTCTGTCCTTTTGATGTCATTCCATATTTAGACTAAAAACTGGATTCTCTTCTTCTGGTGCTGCGCTACAGTCTACTTTTTGGTTTTAATATCTTTGTCACAGTAGCCAGTGGCTGGTGATCTTGTTTGGGTGTTTATTACTGCACTGATTTGTATATGAGGGAGTTTCACTTAAGATGAACTCTGTGAAAGACCGGACTGTGGACAGAGTACTCTACCCGGATACCATGTAGGAATTCCACAGGCTTCTCGGCGGTGGATGGAAACTTCCCAAATTTTCCTTTGTGATCACATTACAGGAATCAAGTTACATTCCCACTGTAAGGTTAGACTTCTGACACCATTTGTTTCAACAGTTTCTTTTTTACGCACAGGCACATTTCAGTTCACTTTGATAACCGCCCTGATTATTTTTCTTACAACAGATCATTATCAGTTCAGAACTGCGAGCCTTCTGAATCGACCTGCACTCAAGGAGGATGTCACCAGCACTGCCTTTCATTCTCTGAAGGATGTGAGCCTGATCATAAATGAATGAGATCCCTCAGTAATAATTCAGAGGACAGCTCGGGGGATATCGGATTACTTGTATTACGTGGCTGCTCCTGTTAAAGAACACTACGTCGCTTTTAATATCAGTGCTGTTACAATCACTTTGCACTTCTCACCATCACACCGAAACACTGTACTGAACGCCACGAGAAGCCTCAGAATAGTTCGCAGCCGTATAAAAGCCAAAACACATTCTTGATTTGGTCGTGCCTCATTGAGTTGCTGTATGAAACAAATTCTCTCCAGTTAAAGAATAAGGAGAATAAACTAGACAACCTGTTTCCTACAAACAAACAGTTCTTAAGAGTGTTCTGGTTTATATGCTGTGCTATATGTTGGTTCAGCCATTTGGCATGAAAGCGGTTTTATGCTAAACTAGCTGTAATTAATGCAGCAATACTATTCCATTACAAGAACTGCCCTTGGATCAATGCTTCTTCACTGACATTTTATAGCCAAACTGAAATGCAAAATTGCAATTGCAAATGCTGCACATCATATAATGCTTGACATAAGCTCACAGATTTAAAAAAGTTAACACAGGTTTCTTACTTTTTACATTAATATTTGATCTCTTTTGTAATGACTTTCTTTGAGCTTTTATAAACCACATCAAAAGAAAATATTGGCCAACTTAAAAACTACATTTTCAGTGATGCCACAGAAGGTATAATCAATTCACATCATCCCTGCAAAAGGCAAACATTTAAATATCACTGCTTCCAGAAATTCAACATAGGTAAATAATACAGATCTGAATGATAAATGTACTTGCAACTGCTTGAAATCAGTCTAAGTAAGTCTGATAGCTAAAAGAAATATGCAATTTACTTTCTTCTCCACGAAAAGATTCAGCCTGCATGACCTTAAGCAGATTAAAAATCCAAATAGATGAACCCTGCTAATTTAAAGCAACTGTTGAGCCTGGCTTTCTTACCCTGCTGGGCCACCACTGACGAATAAAAACTATCCTAAAAAGATGAAAGGTTTATCCGATTAATTTGCCCAAGGTAGCAGAACCTCCACCCCCCCTCCGGGATCAAACCTAACTCGCTCAGCAAAGCCTTTCCGAACGGGCCCGGAAACGGTCAGTCACCTCCACGCAGGTCTTCATTCCTGAGGCGGCGGCGTAGTGCAAGGACGTGTTTTTCTTATTGTCGGTGGCGTTGATGTCGGCTCTCTCGTACTCCCCCCGGTCCAGCTTGGCCCCGGTCCACTGGAGGATCATCTGCAGGCAGTCGGCCCTCTTCTGCTCGTCCTCGAAGGGCCGTGCGATCCGCGGGTGCAGCGCCCCCTCTGGCAGCGTGATCTGTGGGCCCATGCACAGCAGGTGCGACGCAGTCTCGTTGTGAACGTTGCGCTTGTTGGGGTTGCCATCTTTGCTGAACAGAAACGATCTGTGTAAAGGAAGGGAAAAAAAAAACAACAAACCAGATGAACATACTCGTCCGAAGGCCCAGAAAACACCTGGGAGGTTTACTGCTCACTTCTATCTGGTTATCAGCAGATTCCTCGATTTGAAATACTACCAGCATCTGGAAGGCTACTTTTCCATGCATCTTAACCACCTTTTGATTGGTGTTCATCCGTGTTTTATCATATATATCAGGCCCCAATGATTTAAGCATTTAAAACAAACTGCAGCGCATCTCTATTTCATGTATCAGGACATGTTTTCAAAAGCCTGTGGGACAAATCCCCTTCAAGCAACAGAGTGGCACAACTCTTGAGTGCTGCAGACAGATAGGGCAGAACCTGATGGGGGGTAGTAGGAAGGAGGATGTATCCCCCTGACTTGTGTTTGTCCAGTTTTGCACTCCAAATTAGCCTGACCTGTCGCAACATTGACATATGATTCATATAAAACACAGGGCATCTTAATCAGCCATGAAAAGGAGACCAACAACTTTAAAAAGTGTGATTTCAGCACGGAGTAATTATCTAAAGCCAGTGTGAAAGGGGTCTGTAAAGTTTATTCACAGTGATTTAAAAATTGCATTGCACTGCAACAGGCAATTCTAGCTTGGGCTGATCATCATTTAGAATTTTAGATTTTCTTTTATTTACATGTATTGGCATGACAGCGGCAGTTTGAAACTCAAAACAATCCCAAAGTGCAGTCAACACGGATACTGAAAACACCCAAGATACTTTTAAAATACCACAAAGATAACAAAATAACAAATCGGCAAATTCAAAAGGCTACTGAATTACATTATTCAGGAATGTATGTAAAAACTGTAATGCTTACCCTGTTTGGACTTTTTAATTAAGTTAAATAAAATAAATTGTTACAAGGAGATTATGGTAGCAGTCTTGAGGACTGCATTTCTATATAGTTTAATCATCTTTTTATTTCACTCTACAGAGAATGCGTTTTACAACACTCAAAATATCTGGCATTATCCTGTGCCCTTGACAAAGCAGTAACATTTAAAAACAATGGTGATGCATGTCACTCATCGACTATTAACAGGTGCAAAACGCCTTTTATGTCTTTTATTTTATGTCAATATGTCTTCTTATGATCATCTATTCAATCACAAGGGGAGAAGGTTCTGAAGCAGCGAAGGAAGGTTGTGAAATGGAGACCTAGAATTTCAACAGAATTTATGTTCTCGTATCGCTGTAAGAAACAAAGGGTGTAAAAAACAACCGCTTTCCTTTCCTGCCTGTACGGTTCAGTCTCGCCTTTTCTAAATCCAATGCAAATCAAATCCAAATCAGACAGAATGACCCACTTCACCCTCTTGTCAGGTTTTCATGTTGACTGTCTAAATTTGTTTTCCAGGCTGCGACGGCTACTGATGTTGTCGGAATGAATATCTCTCCAATCCTCCACCTGGGTCTTCCCTGTTCTTTTTGTATTTGTAAGAGCAAAGCGGCCCTTGTCTTATCTTTGAGGCTCAGTGTAAATGCTGAACTACAAAACGCAGCCCATTTTCTCAGAGTATTCGAATGCAGAATTTTCCTCTCCGGAAGCAAAAATAGAGACAGCATTTCAGTTAATCAAAGAAAATTCAGACAAAGAATTTAATCCTTGTGGCCTACTCATAATAGTTTAGGAGTCAATTTTCTTTAACCTCTTACTTAACATTTCTTCCAATTCTTCGCTGGCAATCATTTCAAGAAAGCTTGAAAAAGTCAAGGTGAGTACCTCATTAGAATATGCATATTTTTTTCCCTACTTCAGTGTAACAAACGCAAGTTTCAGAGTAAGGAAAGCAACACCTTTCACATGACAAAACAAAACAGCTGTTTCTCAGAACAGAGAACCATATCAGGGGACGCTGATGGTTAGTGTCCCCACTGCTACTGGTTTTAGAAAACACCCAGTCCACCACAGACAGAGAGAGCAGGAAATCCTTCACTATTCTCGAGGATGTACTTTACTAACAGAAGTTCAAGTAGAGAGCTGTGTCACCATGCGTAGGCTGCAAAGGAACAAGTAAAGTTTTATTCCATGCTGGAAAGAGAAGAAAAGAAACACAACGTTTCGGCTGTGGGGTCTTCTTCAGGTGCCACCCAAAGAAGGCTCCACAGCCTAAACGTTGCATTTCTTTTCTTCTCTTTTCAGCACAGAGTAAACCTTTACTTGTTCCTTCACTAACAGCATTAACTCTCACGTGTCTGAAGCTCTTTCTCACCAGACAGGAACGACTGTGTTCAGTTTTCCATAAGGTTACTTAACATCCACTTGAAAAGTATGTCAGGACAGAGGAGCACTTCCTGTCAACCAGGTGACCAAGGCAACAACAAGGTAGTCCATAATTCCTTACAGGCTTGCCAGAAACTTCTCTGTGAACCACGCTGTTTACGCAGATTCAGATCCCACACAGTTAGGGGATCAGGCTGTGTAATCATTACTGAGAAGTCATGTGAAATTGTTGTTTGCCAGGGACAGAGGAGGGACGAACTGTCCCTAGCAACAGATCTGCCACTCACCAGGAACACTGGCTAGAATCTGAACCTTTATAAGTGATCTTACAGGACGGTCTGGCTCAGGGTAAACAATAGAAAAGAAGGAGGGACATTCTTCACCATCCCTAGTGACTCAGCTCCACCAGAAAAGGAAAACTGGGTAAAAATCCTGCTAAACTGAAACACTGTTTAAAGCCACAGTTAAGAAACGAGGATTCTTAACACATACAGTACCATTCCATTGTTAATCAAAGACCCCTGGAATGTACATTTAGGCATATATTTAAGGGATTAAAGCACAGGTTGGCTTCACTATCGTTACAAATCTCTATGCACTTTAACCATAGAAATATTTACATTTGACTAAGAATATGAGCCCAATTTTTGTTTTAAAGACAAGCATGTCACTCCTGTCTGACACACTTTCCTCTCTCCTTGAATGTGGAGATCAAGCGACATTCTGTCTGAACTGCATCTTCTAGCTGACACAGCTCTCTGAGGGAGGGCACCTGTCAGCTCAGTCAGCCCCTGACGGATACCTTCTGGTTTGGACTTCCAGTGCAGTCTGACATTCGTAATGTCCAGAACCCTTTCAAACCAAGAGACTGCAGCTCCTGGCTCTTTCAGGATAATCATCATTAACCTGGAATTAAGCCTCCCAAAGGCTGAATGGGTCTACAAAAGAAATAATGCGAACCCACACAACTTTAGGTGAACTTTGACTTCATTGTTTTATTTTATTTTATTTTTTAAAACATATATTTAAAAAAATAATTTTGGTCTCTTTAATACAATAAATCATGGATTGTCTCCGCACAATCACAACCACAAAGCTTTTTTACTTCATCCCTACTTTCTCTCTGGAAAAATAAAACTTACAAGCCTAAAAGAAAAACTACAAACAATATTTGACCACTTCAATAGGTTTGTCATGGTCTGTATATCAAACAGCTTCAAATGCCTGTGTACCATAGTATTTGTTTCTTCATAAGTGTTCAACCTACTTAATTCTTCTCAAAGCCAAACAATTAAAGGATTTATTCTTTTTCTACAACAATTAATCTGTTAAGTTCTAAACTGGCTTTAAGTCAACCATACCTTAGCTTCAGTTTTTCCCATTAGAAAATCTAATTGGGTTTAGAAATGACAGTGATCTGTCAGTAGACAATAGACATTCACACAACAAACTGTCAAAGCTCCAAGTCCTGATGCAAAAACACTAATCCTAGATCACGTACTGTTGTCCACAGGGCATAGGGAGAAACTAGAAAAAAACAAGGAGATTTGAGAAGGATTAGTTAAAACAATAAATTGCATCTCTTAGGTGATTGCACTAATGGTACAAAATGAAATGTAATTTTAATTTTCGCTTTAGAAAAAATAAATTAAGGTTCTTTATACCAGCTGCCAAGATCCATGAAAAACAAATTAGTCCTCACAAATATGTGCTTTGACAGCGTGTAATCTTCTGTATCACAGACATCTGTAATTGTCAATAGTTATGAAACCTTTGGCAAGAATAAGGACAGTAAAGTTCTGGACTTGATTCTCAAACTATATCATTATACGGGGTGCAATCTGATGTCAGCAAGTAACATCCATTTGGAGCAACAAACATCCTTCATTACACTTTCATTAAGCCCATGAAGTGTGTTTCTCCGTTATCACTTTGTAGCTTCCTTCAGACAAGACAACTGACAAAGAATTAAATCTAATTGTGGGGGAACCAGTATGTCAGACAGAAAAAGGAGAAACAGAATCATTTTCTGAGTCTTAATTGCTGAGAAAAGCAAATCTTACAACCCTGAAGGTCAATACAGACACTAACATTCATTACACACAGAGAGGTTTAATTCAGTAGTGCTGGTACAGTCTATAACCAGAAAGCATTACACTAAGAGTTGCTGAAAAATACACAGGAAATTGAGCATCCATTACACAGCTAATGTAAAACACTTTGACAGTTGCCCAAATTTTTGCTCAAGATAAATGGCCAAAGTTATAATGAGCGTTTGCTTAAGCAAGGAAAAATCTCAATGTAATGGCTTGAATACCAGGTCTTAAAGTAGTGTTTTTATCTCAAATGCTCAGCCTAAAACATGACTCTCAAGTTCAATAATCTCACAAACAGATACAGACATACTCTGATTCGCACCAGCGCCAGTTTTCCCAGGAGCCAATTATCCTACCAGAATGTCCTTGGACACGTGAACACGGAAAGAACATACAAACTCCACACAGAAAGCACCCCAGATCCGGGCTGTCCCCACGTGTTCTCTAACTTTGACTAAATCTCGACAGTCACTCAAAATAAACATGTGCGCAAGTGGTCAGAGTTTTTATTTTTTTAGTGACATATTTGATCTTTGTCTTCCAAAAACGTTTTGGAATTTCTCTACTTTGACCCACCCGATTTCACAATTGCTTGGCCTTGGAAAAGGCCATAGAATAGAAACACACCACTGTGCAGCTTTTG